TGACGTAGCGACCCAGTTAGGCTCGCCAAGCGGTGCCACGGCCAAGTCCAGTCGGGCATCCCCAATGAACCAGCGCCAATATCTATAAAATAAATTGGACCGCCAGAAAAAAAAATAATGAAGGAAACGTCAGCGGACCGATTTGCCGCCAAAATTTTTCAGGGTGAACGCACTCCAGCGTTTTGGCATGAATCGGAAGTTGGAAGTTGTCCTAATAGTTTGTTTGATTCGATAAAGGTGCGTTTTTATTGTCTATGACCCCGCTGGATTGTCGTAAAAAATGCCCGTTTACATGTTTACTTGAACAGAACAAAGCTCCACTCTTCTCCACAGCATGATTTATTTTAGGAAAGGTTTGTAGGTGGAGATGCAACTCTGTTCTTTAATAAGCCTATGTTTTTTTGGAGGCTGAAAACACAAAATTCCTTTTGCCATCATCTATGCTCTAAAAAGCTACAGTGCTTTTAATGTATGGGTATCATCGTAAATAGCCCTGCGAGAACTGAAAGAGTTATTTTTACTCTGTGAGCGAATCCCGACAGTTATTACAGTGGAACCGTGATATCATAGCGGTAGTATGTGCATCTAGCTCACCTCTGCCAACAATCTTACAATTCAGCATTTGTTGTTCTCATATTTGCCAAATATTTGCACCTTATCGCCACGCCGCGTGTTGTGATAGTTTTACTACGGCCATTTTTATATTTCTCTTTAGCTCTTTCGCTTTTCGTAGTTTTTCCAATATGGCATTCCTTTTAAGTTATGTTTGCATATATTTTTGGATTGTTTTATGATTGTCTGCAGTTTATTGACTTCGGGTTTTGGAAAATAAGTTAATTAATTTGACACCTTTCATCGTTTTATTATACACAGAGAAGACAACTCCTATTTATTAGCCGCGTACCATTTCCATTTTTTTCTGGATTTGGTTTCTTCACGGTACCTTCTGAGTTTAGTAAGAGTTGTTTCTTTTAAGATATGAGAGTTTCATGATAAAAGAAAAGGATCGTTAGTAGGATCATCATCATCATCATCAGCCTATTAATGTCCCCACTGCTGGGGCACAGGCCTTCCCTATGGATGGAATAGAGAGATTGGGCCATGACCCACCAGTGCGGATTGGCGCGTGCTAACGACTGCAGATGCAGCCGGGACCAACGGCTTAACGTGCCTTCCGAAGCACGGAGGAGCTCGAGATAGTAATTTTTGGTCACCCATCCAATGACTGACCACTGCGAAAGTTGCTTAAGTTCAACTATCTCAGCCGAACGCCCTAATCACTTGCGCCATCGAGATCCTCGTTAGTAGGATAAGTACTGTTAAACAATAATTGTCGTTTCTCGTATCATACAAAATTATGTAGAACTTCATTCATTACGCCAATTGTAAAACTATCGCCGTGAAATAGTATATGACTGATCAATGGGCGATCCGTTTGGAGCCAGGAGAATCCGTGACGTCATAGAGGGTCCTGCCAAGCAGGTTTGGCAGACCATGCGTCTGGCACACGCCACTTCGGCTGTTTTGACTGAACCTTATGTTTACACACGAAAAAATCTCCGTTTAATATCACGCTGCTCGTAAGCGCCGCTGCCAAAATCATTGTTTATCAACGGAATCAAATGTTTTGTACACCGTTTGTTTTCTGGAACTAGAAATTCTTATAAACATGGAAACGTTTCGTAGACTAAAGATTTTCACTAATCGTTGATGCAGTTACTCATGAGTCTAATATTAATGTACATTTGTATGTCACTCAACTGTTCTGCAACTATTCATTGAATGAATTTAGATGAAATTCGGTGCACGTACGGAGTTTAAATAAATGAATACTTTTTTAGACAAATTTCGCACCAGTTACCCAAACTAAGCTAGGTTTGTACTATGAATGCTAAATAACGGATATAATACATAAATAACAATTTAAAGAGCTAGTTAGGTGTTTGTTCTTAAAAGGAATGTTAAATTCCAGTAGAGTCTTATCAATGTGATGTAATCTAATGAAAATTTAACCATAAAAAAACGACGGGTTGCACTCCGGGAGTGCCGGCAGAAGTGAAAACTTGAATATTAACGTTGTGCATTTTTTAATATTTTGGAATGGTTAGGGAATAATTTTGCACGACTTGCTTTTATTATCAGTATAAAAGTACTATCATTTATGTGGTAGAATACAATATTTATTTATTGCGCTATCGTAAACAAACATGACAATTTATATTACATTAAAAAAGTTTATCTCTCAGAAAAATCAAGTTACATGAATCACATTTAAGCGCACCTAGCGACATCTCTTGTAAAAAAAAAATGCATTTTCTTCGCAATAAAGCTGCCACCTGGACGTCCTAGATAGAGACTCATAATTATAATACGATTAAATAAAATATTCCTATGCTTCGTCCAATATATTGAAAGTCAACAACCTTTCCAATTTTAATGTTTTCATCTTACGATCAGGACACGTGGCCTGTGATGCGATCAACCCACGTGTCATGAAGCGAGTTTAACATTTTTTACCCATACAAAAAAGTACACAACGCCGCTAAAGAAGTTTTCATTTCAAAAATTAACTCGGTCCTGGTGTATTTTCTCTAGTTAAATTTCCTTAATTTTTTTAATATGTAGAAGAATCTTCCTTAATAAACATTTAATGTAACATCTATTTGCTATGATTCATATTTAGGACTAATTATACCACTGCAAGGTTCCGTTTGAATTATAATTAACTACACAAGCGACATTACTGGTGTAGCAGTTTATAACTGCTGTACCAGCTATATTCGCGTTTGGACTTTATCACCACTTAACATCAGGTGGGGTAGAGTCATTTGCCTACCTCGCTATAAAAAAAAAGTACTGACATTAATTTCATTACATTACGATAATATAGGCTATCATACCACACAAAAATGAAAGGAACTGTACGGTAAATACCATTGTCTGGAAGTAAAAGTTTGGCAACGTTATTAGGATGTAAGGCCATTGTATCCTTTGATTGGATTGTCATACTTCTCTCATTTACATCCAAAAAAAGGTCGCATATAATAGCGGAAAACGTTGAAATCACCTCAAATACTTTCACGAAAGTCAGCACAATGTGATTTCTTATTTTGTTTGACCACAAACACAAATAAATCAGTCGGCATTAGCATACATTAAGTTTATGATTCAACAACAATACTATTCGCTGGGCGCGCGATGAATCTTGATTAGGCATCGTTTGTGTATGACATATAATAAGTGTAGCTTACATATTTTTTTTGTCTTTGTGCAGATTAAAGGAGGTCGCCATTGATATTCTGACTGGGCAACGTAATGTTGGATTGTTATGTAACTTAATCAGCACAAATTGTTGACCCTGTGGTGGTTTCTATGTAAATTTTACAAGATGGTTCGTTTCATTAGGCATGCCGAATAGGAACAGTGGTTGGTTTATTAAATTGCCTTCATATAAAGGGAGTAATAGTTTTTTTTATAGATCTCGAATAAATGTAGAGATTTACTGTAGTTGGGGTTGATACACAGGGCGAATCGTAACTGAAACTAGTACAGTATGTACAATATACTCAATAAATATATAGAAGTTCCTTTCCTTATTATATTCAGACTTGAAAGTCTGATGCTTAATAGGGTATTTGACAGTATTAAAAATAAAGAGGCGATTGTTAGCATTTGTGTTTAGAATGAATATTAGCAGGGGTTTTTACTATTTTTACAAAAAAAAGTAAACTTCCGGTTAAAGTGACATTACATTGTATCATTTGACTTTTTAATAACAGTCGTGTGACGTTACACATTAGTAAGACGCCATATTGTCCAGAGAAGAGTTTTCGATTTGGTTATTTTTACTGAAATACACAACAGAATGATGAATATCTACTTTTTAAGGACTCCATAAATATTAGTCAACAACGTGAGATCGTTTTCTAAAACTTGTCAAATACCATATTGAAGATGTATTCTGCTCTAAACTCTAATCATTTACGCCTTCAATAGTTTTTGGACATATTTTGATCCAAATGTACTTAGAATTACTCGTAGGTATTGAATTAAACACATTCAATATCTAATTTTAGTTTGTGACTTAGTCATCAATATCTGGGTTATGTTGACCTTTAACGTAGAATTAGTAGTTTCAATTTAGATTCTATATCTTCTGTAACATTAAATCTAGCTGACATCAAATCTAAAAGTAGCTGGCTGGAAAGATAATTGATAGGAATTTCATTTATTTTATCTTTATTTTGTTTAGTTCCATTTTTATCACCTAAAACCTTTTCATCTGGTTTCCTTCAAGCTGAACATAATTATTTAGTTTTATTTGCGAATGCTTTGTGTGCAATATTTATAAACATTCGCACTCTATACGTTGAATCGATGTACATAATTTATATGTGAAATGTATGTTATGCAATTTTGAATTATGTGTAAATTAATGTAAATTCTATTAACATTAAATTCCTTGGTGGTATTGAGTGCTACTATACATCAAGGGATTTTTGTCATTATAATTACAAACAAAAATTATTAAATTTTATAAAATATACTGAAAGTTGCCATTAATTTATGATAATTATTTGAAATAGTTACTAAAATACTGGTGAGTCATTCATTCATTAATACTTTTTAGCATTCGCTTTGAATTAAAGGATACAAAAATAATACAAATGTTGTCTGACATAAAACATCTGTCAGTAATGATATAAAATATAATGAGCTAATAAAGATAAAGCTATAAACATAATAGAACATCGGACATAAGCGATAGCTGGTTTGCTCTAAAATTTGTTTCAGTTTCTTTCTACATTCATATTTCTCTGTGACTCACTGTATCATTGAAAATCTTGAGAGTAAAAAAGTTAGTTTCTAGAAGATTTTTATTTGAGGCATAATCCAATCTACGAAATACCACGGTGTGCGCCAAAAGTACCACGTTGGGCGCCAAGAAGATAAGCACGTAGCAAAGTTAAATCTGTTTGATGACTCTTGTAATGTTTCAGGACGAGTTCCATCCGTTCATAGAGGCCCTGATGCCTTTTGTAAAGTCCTTTTCGTACACGTGGTTCAATTTACAAGCGGCCAAACGGAAATATTATAAGAAACACGAAAAACGGATGAGTCTTGAGGAGGAGCGGCACACAAAATATGAGTTACAAGTGAGTACTAGCATAGATAGATATTCAATATATTATAATAAAACCTAAATAGTTGGGCCTTGTCTTCGTCAATATTTTTTTAAATAATCTGATTAGTATGAAACTGGTAAACTAATCAGATAAATTCAAATATTATTGAAATATTAATATTCTTAAATTTTAAGCGCATTCTTTTGTGATATGTACTTATTACTTGATTCCATACATTTGGTATACTAGAATTTTGTATTTTTTTACTACAAATAAGATAAAAATGATTAATTTATGAGAATTATAATTTTTTTATAACTTACTTTATATCTAATCTTGCAATAGTTTTCATAAATGTCAGTTATTTTTTATAATTAGGGGTAGTGGATGGAAATTTATATACAACAAGTTCAGAATTCCTTTGTTTCTGTTGTTGTTAAACAGAAGCCATTTTACTTTTTTTTTCATAATGGATCAATCTGCCTGAAGACTCAGACCAAGGATGAATTTTTGACAGCTCCCTAACGTATTATCATCGTCAATTTTGTATGGAAATAACTAGCGCGTAAAAGCTAGTATGTTCGATAGGGGCGCTGTTTAGTTTTCATAGAAAATTTGATGATTCAATAACTTACGGAGCTATCAAAAATTCGTGCTTGGGCTTTCAGATAAAATTTATGAAAATTTACTAGAATTAATGATTTCTCCCAATTCATCGCTGATTTCAGAACGAAAAAGCAGAAGTGAAACAAAAATGGGCATCGAGATTGCTAGGGAAACTGCGGAAGGACATAACGCAAGATTGCAGAGAGGATTTTGTACTCAGCATAACGGGCAAGAGGCCAGCTGTGTGCGTCCTCTCCAACCCAGACCAGAAGGGCAAGATGAGGAGAATAGATTGCCTGAGACAGGCGGATAAGGTACAATATTAATTCTAATATTAAAGATAATGAATCGACTCAAAACAAGACAAATGTTTTAAAAATGATAACCACTCTTTAAATGTATGACAGGCATATAATGGAGAAACAAAATGTTGATACACCACGCTCCTAATTGAAGCTTTGGGGAATAGAACGAGATCTCTCGTTATGAATAGTTTAGACGTCATTATTAATGTATCGTTTGCTGTACACCATATTTCTTGCGCGACAGAATAGTCTGTCAAAAAATCTCTGTTATTATCAATTGCAAACTTAGATCAACGACGAACTGTACGCTGTATTTACGCATCAAAATTCTTTGGTATCTCCAAGCTAAAATTTTGCAGTCAACTCTGTGCGGTATTGACTAATGCCGGCAGCCTTATTACAAAACGTTGACTAAAGTTAAACGTGGTCTAAAATTGATGCTGACATTTTTGTTTGCTAAAGAGAAGACCGAGACAACGCAAGGATTGAACCAGTGATAAATTTAGTCCTCGTTTTGGAATAAGGCGGTTAGAGTTCTGCTTTCTCTTCCAGTCCTTTATAATGAAGTCCATGATGAACTGGAAGAGGTGGTGCATATTGTTGTGAATGTACCGTTTCTTTTATTGCAGGTCTGGCGTCTCGACCTAGTGATGGTGATACTATTCAAAGCTATCCCCCTAGAGAGTACGGACGGCGAACGGCTCGAGAAGCACCCGGAATGTACGCAGCCCGGGCTGTGCGTGAACCCGTACCACATCAACGTGTCAGTGCGCGAGCTCGACCTGTACCTGGCCAACTTCATTAACAGCTATGGTAATGGGAGCGACGGTCTGCCAGGTCTCTCGCTCTGTTATGTTGACTACTGTTTTAGTACTAGCAACTATCGGAAGCACGCAGAGATGTTGAACAATTTTTATGTTATTAAAGTCTCTGTTGACTTAAAGCAGATATATACATATCTGTCGCGTTGTGTCGTGACGTAGCAGAGAGGTATCGCTTTCACACATTTAGTACCGTGAGAAATATAATTGCGTGTCGCAATCTGACGCTATGTGTCGACCCCGTACTCACTCTAGCCGTACTAAATGTATGAAACGGATAGCTCTCTGACGCATCCCGATTCAACACGACAGAGAAATATATTTGCGGGTCTACACTATTGAAATAAAGAAAATGATGGTGCTCATAATTGATAACCTTTAAAGATAATTGACGTCTCTGAATGCGACCGTATGATAGCGTACGCATCATCACGTGTTCCTTTTTCTAACTGACCTTAAAAAGGACGAGGTTTTATATTCGTCAATATATTTAGTAAGCCATTATTAGGTTAGAGTTCATGTGGAATGAAGTTCATTTAAATAATTGAGGTGGAGGTTTCGTGCGATGCGTGCGTTATTGTATTTTTTGTGATTGTTGATGAATTTCTGATGTAGGTTTTTAGTGACTGTTTCTGTAATTAAAAAATGGTTGCCTGTAAAGTCGGTTTTACGGGCGAAGATTTTACGTGACAACGTCTTTTTCTCGGTAGAATATTTATTGATATGAATATAATTAAATTGCACAATAGGAACAAGGAATTGAATGAAAATAAGAATTGCACAAATTTTAACTATAGAAATATATTTTGTTTACTAAAACATTGTACATGTAAACTTAAACTTAACACGAGAGACTCATCGTAACGTTACCGAGCGTTACACTTTTTCATAAGTGACTCCCAGCCGCAACCTAATTTAAGACGTTGTCACGTCAAAAAAATATATATTTAAGCCGGTTTACTCTTTCCGTTTTTTCGTCGTTATCGTCCCAAATGAGAAGCAAAATAATTGGTGTATTTGAAACTGGGGTTGTGTTTATCATAGTCATGACCCGTTTAAAAATGACTAATATTTTTTGGTGTATATAGCTAAAAATAAATATTTTATGTAGAAATACGTTAAATACTTTGATATCAGCAATTCATCAACAGCGATAACAACTTTTGAAGTTTCAGTTACATTATTTTGCATTATAACAATAATAAGCTAATTTTTATCTCCTTTTGGAGACTACCAAATACTATTTTATAACCAGTAAGTCACAAAGCTTTACAAAAAGCTATAATTATGTGTGATTGAAATTTAGTGCTATCTTTTTCCTTGCGATGAAATTACAATAAGACAGCATTAATGATATTAAGTTTATGTGACACCTTTGAGTACGGCCATAAGACTCATAATTGCCTGCGCTAAATCATAATAGCTTAAGGAGTTTCTTTCCATTTTCGGAGTTGAATTTAAGCGATTTAGGCTCCATAAAGGCAGACCATGATTTCAGAAGTCGCTTCGTATATAAATATATATTGCGATTGTTACTTATTATGTTATTATGTCTGTAACCCACCTGATGTGTTTCAGATATCCTAAGCGGGTCTCTCTCGCCCCACCCGCCTAGGGACAAAGAGAACGAACACGAGGCTAAGAGCAAAGGTAACTCCGACCTGCGTCGGTGTCGTGATGTGGCCTACTGGGCTCTTTCTGCACTGTGGTCATGAGCGGGCTTAATGATATTCAAATCATTCTAACAACGCTATTATAAAATTTCTTCGTACTGATCAATATACATTATTAAAATATTTCTTTCGTTTTGTTAATTTTTGATTGGAAATTTTTGTAGTGTAGTTGACTCTTGTCGTTGTAACCTTATATGCATTATAATATTTTAAAAATTTTAAACCATGCTTGAGCTAAATATTACCGCAAAGAATTTATTGATATAAATCATTTAGTAAGTATTGAGACACTTAAATTAGTTAAAAGCCTAGGAAATAAAACGCCCTTAAAGTTTGGCGCCCAACGTGTAACTCTACACAATGTATTTTTTATTTAAACTGTAATTAGTTAGAGCCCACTCATTACCACAATTTGAACATGCAGAAAGGTCCCGCGTTGTTTGACGTCGCACCAAAATTATATGTTGTCTTTGCATCGAGTTATTCTGTCGTTTTTATTTTAAATTCTTTGACTTAATCCTAGCATTGGCTTGCACTCACACCTTTCATGCTTAAGTCCAATTGGAAATGCAATGTTTGAGCGTTTGTTTTTTATAAATTTATTTGTTTTGTAGTCGGTGTTCCTTCTCTTTCACTCTTTGTATATTTCACATTTGTGCTTTTTTGATTGGTCGGAGAACTTGCATTTTGAAAGTTGATAATTTATCATTTCGTGTACCAAGTTTATGAGTTTCAAAACTACTGGCCAATTAGAAAAGCATTGATTTACCTTGTGGCCTTCATCATTATGAAATAAAAATAAATTGAAAAGATCAGTCAAATTAAATACTTTATAAAAAGTGCTTTAAAGTAAGAGATGCATTATTTATGTCATACTTTATATAAAAAAGTATTGCATTAGCCTCGTCACTATTAAAAAAAAACGTGGATCTTGGCTGCCGTTTTTCTCTTCATCCCATATCACTACATTGTACATTTGAAAAAGAAAAAATATACTACAAAGCTCTCAATTCTGGAACAGTAGGGAAATTAAAAAGATCAGTTAAATGAAATACGTAATAGTTTGATAAACAAAAAGTGCTTTAAAGTATTGCATTCGGCACAATGCATCATTTATGTCATCCTAAGTAATACATTAGCCTCATCACTATTAAAAAAAAAACGTGAATCTTGGCTAGCGTTTTTCTTATCATCCCATATTTATTACTACATTATACATTTGAAAAAGAAAAAATATATTACATAGCTGCCAATCCCGGAACAGTAGGACAATTCTGTAAAATAAAATCTCACTTCCGATTTCGGTAGCTGCCATTTTAGACATGAGTTTGTTATGCATTACGCCATTACTCGGCAAAATGTCACTTTTTTTTCTTTTTTTTTTAATAATTCATGACCATGGATACAAGTCCTTCAGTCGTATACATAAATACAAATCTTAATCTTCTAGTTTACATTAGAATGTCGGTGTGACGCATTCTTATGTTTCCTGGAGTGTTTGGCCCGAAATATATCGAGTTGGTTTTTTCGATTAGCTTCTGTGAGGTAGTCAACACTACAATAAAGTTCTCACGTCCACTTGACCGGAATAGCGTATATTTTAAAGATACCACTAATTCTTCAGTTGCGCAGATGGTTGTTACACAAAATCACACCAATTTTATTTCACAATATACACTATGAACGAATTTAAGAATAATTGAAATAAGACGCCAACCGCACTCGATAAAATCCCGCCAAAAACTCCAATATGTCACTATGTCTGTAGAAGCAAGAAGAAGCAACCAGTATTAGATATTTGACACATGTCAGAAATCCGAATAAATTAGATCATAAGTTAGATTGCATCTTACAGAATGCCTATGCTAGAATAAATCCTGTTTCTACCCCAAAAGGGTACATTTCAAAACTGTTTGAATATCATTTTCATTTTTAAACAATAGTCTATAGATGTACCTATTTTCGTACTTTAAAGTTCAGGAATTACGAAGTTCCCTAGAATTATTATTCGACCCCTAAAGAGTTTTATCAAGCTTTTAGTATCAAACGTGTACATAGGTATAGATAGATATAAAACAACTCAAATAGTTTTCTGTGTAGATTTTGATATTAGCTAGTGCATTCATGTGACTAAAAGACCCATTTCAATAATAAAGTAATAACTTTGTCAAGGATATCAAAAAACGGTAGCCATATTCCGTCAGTTTTTCTATTTCGATCTCGTTAAAGTGGCATTTTTCATTTAGAACTTTCCTTATTTTTGTTGTATGAATGTATGTGAAGTGTTATTTTAGACTAACCTCAAGAAGACTGAGTTTGTAGTTAAGGTTTTCTTAGTTTTGTAAGTAAGTCTTATAGGAGTAGGTATCTTAAAATACTTCCTTTCATCAAAACACAATAAATATTTTTCCTAGGCCTGAGATCTAGATTGGATCTTTGCTATGTGATCCTGTAAATAGTCCGTAACAAAAAACAGTGGTAGTTATGAGTAACTTTCAAGGTTTCTACTCGTGAGGTACCGAGTTCGAATCTCTATGGGGCAGAGATGTTTGTGTGATGAATACGAGCATTTGTACTCCAGTCATTAATATGTATTCCTATATAATTATACTTATATATGTATCAGTATATATATTCTATCCGTTACCCTAGCATCCCATAACACAAGCCTACAGTGCTTACTTTGGGGCTAGGCTAATTGGGGTGAGTGTTGGAAATATTTATTTATTTTACTTAGCACTTTGCGGCAACTAACTCGAGAGCAGTTCTTTGCGTGGATTCCAATGTTGCTCCATAACTCAGTGAAATACTTTGATTACTTCATGTATGTTATACAAGAGCACACGTATTAACTTTCACGAGTCAACGTAACGGTAGTCTCAAAATTGTCTCTCTGTCACCCATCAACCACAAAATAGATAATACAGAAGGTAATCTACAAATAAAGTGCGCTTGAACAACGCACACATAGACACGGCTCACGGACACGATACCTCATACCACTTAGGACTTGTTGGACCTGTTGGAACTTAGGGCCAAATTCCATCCGTTTGAGAACTTTTATTGGCAAAAAAGGAGAAACAAAAAGCAATGTTATTGTAACTGTACAGTGGACAGTTGTTTGAATACAACTTCAAAACGGTGAATTGTCGCTTTTTTGTCTAAAATTGAAATAATTTTGTGCTTAATAATTTTGTGCATAGTTGACAATCCTAGCGCGACAGCCGAGCGTAGGTATGAAAAGTAAGATACATACAAGAGATTAACTTCTGTACTATACATATTGAGCAACAATCCTTTGAAGAGGCGAGTACATTCGGCACAATGAAATTCAAATCCAGCTCGAAGGACCAATATGCAAGGATTTGCTATTTGTATCTCCTAAAAGATGCATTGTGTGTGGAATAATTAAAATGCAGACTCGTGGAAAATCCTGCTTTATTAAATTTGTATTCTTTTAAAGTAAATTGTTAAAAGGTGTTTCCAATGAAGTTAAATAATTTCTATACATATTGTTAAAACTTAACGAACTACTGGCCCTGTTTGAAAAAAATATGTTTGTTTTGGATAATAATTCATGTATCGAGAAAGGATATAGGTTATATAAAAAATATTTATTTGTCAGCTTCCGCTGCGTGCGCTACGTTAACGGTTAAACATACACAACGATCCTGTATGACTGATTTTTTTCTCTTTAAAAGTTCTATAAAAAAGTCCTCGACAGAATGGGTCCATCTTTTCAATAAGACTCAGTATAATAACCTTTTTCCCCAATTAACGCGGATGAAACCGCAGGAGACCTCCATTGCTATTATAAAGAAGAACTCAGACCTACTTACGTATTCAGCCGTTATAATATCTCATTTTTAAAAAGTTCATAGGCGAAGGATTCTAAAAACAGCCAAGCGAAGAAAATTGGTATTTGCCACCAATTTTCTTCGCTAGATAAAATCTACACATTATGAATGAACACACAAATGAAAGGAAGTATTTCAAGCTACGCCCCCCTCCTCCATAGTTTGTTTACAGAGATGACAGTGCGTGTATGTGTCACATGAAACAAACTGATGTCTGAAAATATTTTCAGGCTATAGTCACAATCCGTACAACGGAGTAATTTGCAACGATATTATTCTAGCCACTGGTGTCTTCTCTTCAAAGGAGCTATGGAAGTTGTCGAAAGGTATGTCCTTTACCTACTTATAATGCTTCTCGCTCACAGAGCATCCCCACTACAGACCGCATACAAAGACATCTATTTGCGCTAAGTTTAGGTCCGCGGATCCACCCCTTAGGTTCGAGTAGAGGCTCCAGACAGAGAGGAGACTCCCCCCGTGGGGAGATGCCATCCGCCTAGAATACCTCTAGAGGCACTCGCTTGAAGTCCCCTTAGGGTCTCGCCGTCCCCAAACCCGGTGACGCTGTAAAGGTCATCTGCGACCAACAGCATACACACTCAAAAAAAAAACCGCGTTTCTGTACCGAATCTGCACAGATTCATTTCGATTTGTTTGCTACGTCGTTTGTCATTTGTTATAATGCCGCCATATCTAGAGCGAGTCGAATGGTTCGGTAGGATTCGGTACAGAGAGGTGTGTATGCACTCGCTAAAGAATATGTACCGAAACGACTCAGTGAAGATGCTCACACTTGATTACATGCACTCAGTAAAGAATTTGTACAGATTCGTTACAGAAACGAAACGATATCGCACAAATCTGTTGCAAAAGGCGCATAACGTTACATCATTTCACCAAATTAGTAATACAACCGTGACGTCATACGGACGTGTCCAATCAAAATGCTGCTAGTCCAGTCGGAATAAACATGAGACCTATTCTAAGACACCAGCGCTTAGCCAATTTTTTCCTAGATAGTATAGACCCCCACGAATATTCCAGTTGAGGAGAGAAAAATACATTAGTTTAAAAAAAAAAAATCTACGTCAATTTTAAAAAAAAAATTAAATCGTCCAAAAACGAACATTTTTATTAACGATTTTTTTCTACTCGATCGATTCCTCAAAATTCTTGGTGAATCGAATCACCTGAATTTTTTTTCCCGCTGTGCGCCTTCTGGGAAAGACGGGACAGGCAAGTACTTTTTTTTCGGAGATTGAGAATTGTTGCTAAAGTTTGCGACACAGGTCGATAAATTTTACATGACTCTCTTGGGAGTGGCGTTACCCACATGATAAACTACTTTAGAAATCAAAATGTTTATTATAACATGTTGAATTGTTGCAAACGTAAAACCGACATAATTGCAATTTACTGCTAAACTAACAATCTCACGTTATTTTTTCATAGAACTGATTTTGTAGAGGGCAAGCTAATGAACAACTTTGATTCAAAAAAAATTTCAAAATCCCCGTTTACAAGCAAAAAAACTCAAAAAAACTGAAAAGGTTTTTCTTTGTTTAAACAATTTTCCTGGCTACAAAACACGGGTTCTAGCGGGGACAAATGGAGGGCATATTCGTGGGGGTCTATACTACCTAGGAAAAAATTGGCTAAGCGCTGGTGTCTTAGAATAGAAGTCGGTCCAAGGCTATTCCGACTGGACTATGCTTGTCCTCCCCGCAGGCCACCGACTTGGCGATTTTTATTTCAACAAAAATTTAATAATGCGGTCTCTAGTGGTTGCTCTGTGTTCTCGCTTTAAAGATCCCTTGAGTAAAACCGCTTTCTTACTAACCGACGGTCTACTCTATGCTTCCATAAACAATTGATCGAAGATTCTATGCGAATAGAACAATCAGACTCTACTTGATTTTCAACTAACAATTTGATCTCTAGTTTGTGTATACTGACTTGATAATATTATATTAAGGATATTATGTATGGTTTTCTGAATAATATAAATTTTATTAATGTAAATAGTAAAAGACTTACAAACACGATACAAATAACATACTTACTTAAATTCTTAAATAATTATACTTTGGTTATTGCTAAATGTGATTTGATTTCTTGTAAGATTACTTTGTAACAATATTTTTACCTATATACTGTATCTATACTGTGTACTAAACTTACAATAGCGCTGCAGACATAATTTAATTTTTTATGCAGTTACTGCTGAGATTAATACAAAAAGGGAAGCTACGGTACTCGGGGCTCAAAAATAATCCGCTTAAATTGTGGTGCATAAACCACAATTCGCTTTAGTCACAATTGGACATTCAAACGCTGCATATGCACCCAATATAACAATATTGTGTATATTCTGTGTTATAAAAATAAAACAATGCCTTCGATGCTTTTATAAAGAACACAAATAGATCGAAATCAAAAAACAAATGCCTCGGCAACACTTTTAATTAGTAAAACTGTAAAAACATATTTAAAAAAAAATGTTATTCTCGTAATCGCCATTTTGTTATCAAGAAAAGGACAACAATACAGCTCAGCCGTTCTGACTCTGACGCGGACTCGCCGTTTCGCTCGCGCTGCGTTGATCCTACAGTTCTGTCTCGCTCGCTCGATTGAATGGTTATTTACAGACGTGTGCGTGTGTGAGAGTTGTTTATGTAGATGAGTCGGATCATATTTTATTTGATGCTAGTATAAGCGTACCGCGTCTTACCTAAGTTTATGTTTTAATTCAAGAGTGTACCAGAAATAATTCAATTTCCGAATATCATTTGAGTGATGTGAGCAAAATATAGGAACGTAGGTAACTATTACAAGCATGAAAGAATTTTTAACTAGAATAAAATCCACGCGAACCATGCAGCAGACCGGACTCGAACCCGAAACCTTCGCGGTTCGAGTCCCGTCTGCTGCCTGATCTTTTAATTTTTTCTAGTAAAATTTTCTTTAGATTTAAACATCTAGCAGTTGAATGTTCAAAAATTTCTAAAATATAACTATTACAAGCATATTCGTCTCATAAACTTTATGAATAAAAGAGAACGAAGGTCTTTAGTAACAAACATATTACTAGGCATAAAAGCACAACACTACACTGTTGTGTCTGTGATGTGATGACGCACAATAGGAGACTTCCGTCGCTCAATGCGTCATGGAAATCACAGGCTAAGTATAAATATGCGTTGCGACTACATTTAATCTACCGCGCTAAACAATAATTTGTAAACTACGGTATCTTTGTATTATTTTGTATAATACATATTTATCATCATCAACATCAGCTTATTAATGTCCCCCCTGCGCGGGCAGAGGCCTTCCCTATGGATGGAAAAGGGAGATTGGGCCACAACCAACCAAGCGGGCCTAGTGCAGATTGGCGGGTGCTAACGACTGCAGATTTAGCCGGGGCCAACGCCTTAATGTGCCTACCGAAGCACGGAGGAACTCGAGGTAGAAGATTTTTGGTCACCCATCCAATGACCGACCACTGCGAAAGTTGCTTAACTTCAACGATCGCAGCCGAACGCGCTAATCAGCCGCGCCATCGAGCTCGAAAATGAATTTTATTTTATTTAATAGCTGTTGGTCATCCAAAAAATAAAAAAACCAATAAATATATTTGACCTAAACGGTACTGTTACTGAACAATAAAAGTTAAAGTTGACATACATATAATTTTAGTTAACCAATTATCAGAAAAAAATGTATCGAAACAGCTCGTATAGGAACGGATGCCAAACCGAATCGTAATTTGTGTCATTAATCGATACCTACATACGTTATGAACGCGGGCTCCTACTCCAATTGACTTTATTCGGTCATTTTTTATTCGTATCTCGACTTGGAATGGCCAGTTACGGCAATTTGGTACCTATTATTCATACACAGCTTTTGCACTCGGACTCAGGGTAGTCAATTAACTTTTCCTCCTGGAGTTGGTTTCGTATTTACTGTGGTCATCTGTAGGTAACAGTTAAAATTCGTTTATTTCGAACAACATAACTCATAAGCATTACCATAGAAATAGGTACATGTCACTAAAATACTAATAAACTTATCATTTATTTAATTTAAAATTCATTCAAAATAGTAGTTATTTAATATCATAAAATAATTTAGATTAAGGTCAACAAATAATATGTCACAAACAAAACTATGTAAATAAATATGGATAATTTAAATTAACAACAACAGTTTAGGAAAAAGTAAAACACACTCAAGTCAAGATATCTAAATATAATTTATAATCTCATGCATAAAAAAAATATGAAATGTCATACACAAAATTTCTTATTTACATATTTATTTATAGCCTAACAATAAATTGCTTATTTAGAAAAAAAATAAAATCTTAAGCACACTTTTAACATAATAATTACAAAAAAAGAGCATTGTATAATTGCCTATTCCTCAAAAAATGCACTGCTTAATACCCGCCTCAGTGATGGAACGTTAGTGTAAAACAAATCAATGCCAGTCTGCCGAGATATACGAGTAACATTAAAACTTTTACCTGTACGCAAAAGATATGAATTCTATCTAAAGTTTGAGGATGCCTGTGGAACGCATATATGAAGGGATTAAATCTAAGTGTTTTTGTTGTTGCACCATTTGTCGATAGCCAAAATTAGATTAGAATTTAACAGCGAAAATAACTGTTCAAACAAGGCCGATAAAATGGTTAAACCAAACTTTAATTTTGCAATGATCTACGTAGTATGTACGGTGACACTTTTTTTTAAATAAAGTCACTCACTTGACAAGGGTTTTTTATTAAACTTTAAATTTTTAAAGAGCCTCATAATGGGGTTAAACTTTTCCACAAAATTTACTCAATGTTCAATAGAGCAGTCAAGATTTTAGCCCTAAAAATATTACCATTGAATATTACCTAATGCGAAATCATATTGTTGTATCTTATTAGTTACAATTTGTATTACTATTAACTTATATAGACATTCTGGTACCTGCTTATTATCATTTCACTACATTAATAATTGTCGTATAAATATTGTGGTCCAACCATAACGCACGATGATATTATTATTATACAATTGATTTTACATTCATATTCTTCTCATAAACGTCTTATAACTTAATATAATTGTAAATTATACTACCTACCTATGCAGAAATGAAGAGCATACAAAGAATTAGCTCGATGGTTCGAAGTGGTTAGCGAATTTGGCAGAGCCGTTTAAAAGAATTAAAAATCTTCTCCCGAAACTGGTTTTGAAAAATGTTTTCAAAAACAGCTGAAGGGTTTAGCAATGGCCAGAGATAAGATTAAAACAAAAAGGTAGGATACGGTACGCTCATACTAGCATCAAATTAATTTGCTCCAACTCAACTACATAAGCAACTCTCACACGCACACGTCTGTAAATAACCATTCAATCGAGCGAGCGAGACAGACTGTACGACCAACGCAGCGCGAGCCAAACGGCGAGTCCGCGACAGAGTCCAAACGGCTGAGCTGTATTGTTGTCCTTTTCTTGATAACAAAATGACGATTACGTAAATAATATTCACGACAAACCGTGATTTAAAAGAAAAAAATGTTTTTACAGTTTTACGAATGAAAAGTGTTGTCGAGGCATTTGTTTTTTGATTTTGTAATAGTTCAAAATAAAAGCATCGAAGGCTTTGTTTTATTTTTATAACACAGAATATACGCAATATTGTTATATCGACGTCCCCCGCGAATAATCCGGTAATGACCTATTACGGGGTTTTCCATGTTATGCGTTTTTCGGCATCTAGAAGTTAAAATACACCATGTAATTTTTTTTCACAATTTTTCTATCTTTATTTACGAAGATATGAAAAATTACGCGTGTATTCCATAAAAATTCTTTAAAATGTATTTTAAACGAATAATATAGTTTTAGATTTTTACGAAAAAAAATATCAATATAATTTGACAGCAAACATTATTTACGATATTATTCGGGTAAACAGGTTTCAGCAACTCCTATCTACTACTACTATTTCTATGCGCCCTTTTTTCCAATTTGAGCTTGCCAAACGTAACAGAACCCTAGTTTGTTTAGAGCGTCAAAAACTGTAAAATTATAAATCGGGTATTTACGTTTGTAGTGGAAAATTTACACTTCAGACTGTGGTACATTCAAAACTTTTTCTAAATCATGAGATGGTTTCAAAACGACAGTATGAAAGAGTGTTTAATAGTAACTACAACTATTCCTTTTTTAAGCCTAAAAAGGATCAGTGTACTTTATGTTCACAATACCAGCAAGCTGACTCCATTGAAAAGGCATCTTTAGAAGAAAATCACAGGAAACATTTGAGTATGAAAGAAAGAGTTCGTGAAATTAAAAATGAAGAAAAAGGAACACTTAATGAAATGACACCGTTGTGGCCATTTTTGATTTAGAAAAAGTTTTGAATGTATTACAGTCTGAAGTGTTAATTTCCTACTACAAACGTAAATACCCGATTAATAATTTTACAGTTTTTGACGCTCTTAACAAACTAGGGTTCTGTTACGTTTGGCAAGCTCAAATCGGAAAAAAGGGCGTATCGAAATAGGAAGTTGCTTGTTTCAATTTGTCAAGACCGTACACGAAAAAGGTTTCTACGCAAATTTTTATTTTACTCTGATGGTTGTTATGGCCAGAATAAAAACAGATACATATTTGCATTGTATCTTTACATTGCAATGACTCTTCAAATTGACATTACCCATCGGTTTTTTGTGGGCATAGCCAAAATGAAGGCGACTCCTTGCACGCATGTATTGAAAGAGCTCTGAAAAACAAAGTTTTGTACACACCGGACTAAGTATATAGTATCATCATGAACGCTAAAGTCTCCGGTGACCAATATATCCTAAAAAAAATGCAACAATCTGAAATCCTCAACATAAAAGAACTTGTTGAACCCAAAAGATGGCTTCAAGATAAGACAGGAGAAAAAGTAAGATGGTCCGATGTGATGGGGGTTAGTGTGTCATACAGTAAACCTGTTTTCTTTTCAAATATGATTTTGATCAGGATTATTTTGAATTGGATTACGATGCAGGCAGAAGTAGACAGCGTCGGTAGATACAGGTGTCCAAAACAATTGAAAGTATTGAATTAAAGCCAGCATACGACAAGCTCCTCCCTATTAAAAAAGCTTTGTATAATGATCTCCTATACCTGTGTAACTCCCCACCATTATCAACCATTTTATAGAAACTTAAGCTTTTGTGATATTGAATCTGGTCACGATGAGGTTTCTGATTAAGATTTTTAATTGTAATAGGACCTTTTTATAATTATCATGATTGTGTAAGCATGTGTAAATGTGTGTCTTCAGTGCAGTGTCAATTTTTTTATGATAATAATAACTATCGTGTTTTGTCAAATTAACCAAAGTTGTTTCATTAACTAGAATGTCCTTTATTTCATAAAATATACTATAATAATCATCAAATAATATTTAAGTAAACTATTTGAATAAACAATAATAGCCATAACAATAAAATGGACGTTACTGTTAAACAATCGAATAACCTAATAATTGCTTTTTACAAATGTTCAGTAAACAAAACAAATTACACGAATAATAGCGCAACACGATTTTACTGCGGCCGTCGAAAATACAAATTTACACGAACAATATCGTAAGTGACATTACTGACTACAGATTGACCTACACTAATATAGTAAAATGCATCCAGCTAAATTATAACGAAGCCCTTGGGACTACTTAAATTTTGTTGAAATAACCAGATAGCTGAAAAAATTAGCTTCCATATGCGATATAAAAAGTCTCTCATACTTGTTGTTTAATGGAGTTATTAAGTAAAAATGGTTTTTTATTTTTCCTGAACATTTACACTTTTACGATTACCGGATTATTCGCGGGGGGCGTCGATATTGAGTGCACATTCAGCGTGTTTGAATGTCCAATTATGAATAAATGTGGGTCATGCGCCACAATTTAAGCGGATCACTTTTGAGCCGCGAGTGCTGTATCTTCCCTTTTTAATCTAAGCCAGTCAGTGAATGGGTGGTCAAAAATTTACCATCTCTCGCTGCTCCGTACCTCAGATGGTACGTTAAGTTGTTGGTTCCGGATGCATCTGCAGTCGTCAACATCCACCAATCTGCACCGGGTCTAGCCCATTCTCCATAATGTATCTATAGGGAAGGCCTGTGTACCAGCAGTGTAGGAGTTCAAGAGAAGTAGGGCACAGTGGATTTTTCGCTCGGTTTAGTGCACCCTTTTAGCATAAAAAATGAGTACATTGGGCCCGCGTAGTGGGTCATGGCCCAATCTCCCTATTCCATCCATAGGGAAGGCCTGTGCCCCAGCACTGGGGACATTAATAGGCTGATGATGATGAATAGACTGATAATGATTATGATGATGCAAAACTGACCTTTATTTCTATGTCTACAGCATCAATCCTCCAAGAGACAGGCTCGGAGTCGCCGGGCGGTTCGGGTGGCGGCATTAAGCTGGAGTCTGGCTACTACTGTGGGTACAACAGCCCCGCGCCGCCCGCCTTCGAGCCCGCCGCTGAGAGGGTCACGCCTTCGATGCTGGCCGGACAGTGCTTTAGTGAGTGCCTTTTTTTTGTTAACACACACACACACAAGTTAGTTAGTTAGTTAGCTTTTCAGGGCGGTTTCCGCACTTAGTCCTAATCATTGGACCATTGTGCGTGTCTTGAAACATTCCCGTTTACTCCAGCCAGCCTAGATTAGTCCAGAAGGAAAGCAGTCTTGACAGACTGCTGCAAGCTTCCGGAAGTGATGCGGGTGACTGGAGAAGTCGACACACACACAAATAAACGCCGCTCTTCCAAGAGATAAGCTCGGATGGCGGCATTAAGCTGGAGTTAATATACGCACACATACACACACGTACGCATTTACACACGTCCAAGAGATAAGCTCGGGCAGCGGCATTAAGCTGGAATCGGGTACTGTGGGTACAACAGCCCCGTGCCGCCCGCCTTCGAGCCCGCCGCTGACAAAGTCACGCCTTCGATGATGGCCGGACTGTGTATAGTGATTAACTTTCAATGCACACACATACTCATACCCAGACACACGCATACATGCACGCACTCGCGCAAACATACGCGCACGCATTCACACTCGCACTAAAAGATACGTACACACACACATTCATACACACATATACATACACCCACACACTCACACCCAAACACACATAAATACAATATCCCGATCAGGGTTTTAGAGAGCGCCGCAAGGCACGGTCTATAACTTTTAAGTGACTGATGACTTTTCAGTCATCACCCATTTTTCATCAGCCATGACTGATGGAATTGTATTGGATGGATCGAGTGTCGGCTGCATGAGTGTCTTAAGTAAGTGTCGCTGCTTCATAAAAGTCATTTCGTCTGTTATTCTTGTCAGCTTAAAGTTGCTCTAAATAGATGGTAGGAAAAAAAGTATAAAGCATCAAAACAAACCCCCCACAACCCCCCCGAATTGAAATATCAAGCAGGCCAGCGGTGTCATTCGTTATTAGTTTATTTTGTGACGAAACTAGCACATTATCGGAATCCGGGACAATAAGGTGTAATTACTGGACGGGACAAGACGCCAAATTACGGGATAGTACCGGATTTCCGGCTATCTGGCAAGCCTATGTACAATGGATGGTTTCAAAATATTTAACGGACATAAGTTCTATAATATATTGTTTTAAACTTTCATGGTCACTAACATTATTGTAATATAAGTTATTTACGGGATTGTTACCATGTACCTTGTTTTTAGCGAGTTTCCGATATTTCGGCATTGTTGCAAGCGCCATGATGATCACGGAGTAACAGTACAGTTAAGTTCTATAAATTGTGTTTTAAAAATTAACGAAGTTTGTTTTAAAGGTTAGTTTATTCAATAGGGATGGCTAACTGTGTATTCTGGTTCTTATCAAAATGTATTGGACAGGTATATTTAATTTTTTCACATAATCAAAACTACAGAGATCTGATTTGAAATGTCGCGTGACGTCACGTTTTCGTTACAATAATTTCTCCTAAAAGTGACTTCACGAACCCCTACTCCCAAACTTTGAAGCGCTTTATCCTTGTATTTTTTCATAATCATAATTATATTTCGACGAACTCCGTGGTCGAGTGGTTTGTACACCGGGTTTCATGGTGTCGCCTACTCGAGAGGTCCCGATGTTTGTGTGATGAGTACGAGCATTTGTACTCCAGTCATGGATGTTTAATATGTATTTCTATATAAATATACTTATATATGTACAGTATATGTATTCTATCCGTTACCCCTAGCATCCCATAACACAAACCTTACAGTGCTTACTTTGGGGCTAGGCTAATTGGTGTGAGTGTTGGAAATATTTATTTATTTATATTTATTACTTTTTCATGTAGTTGTACAGAGGTGTTACAAACCGTTCATTGAGATCCTTACACGAACTCGGCTAGGGCACGATATTGTATTTATGTGTGTTTGGGTGTGTATGTGGGTGTATGAATGTGGGTGTGTGTGTATGTTTTATTACGAGTGTGGATGCGTGCGTGTATGTTTTTGGTTTATTAACAAAAGAAAAATAAGTGTCCATTCTTTTTCGATAATCCAACTGACAGACTGAATAGAATTTCGTTTTTTTTTGTAACCCCGTCATCATCCCTGGTAGTTGTAGTGTTAGAAGGAGAGTAACAACAAAATTATTTTAAATATATTTGTTTCTTAGGTTTTACGCACATCACTCATTAAATAAAACTAGTTTTTTACGGGTTAATGCACGAAACTTTATTTATTTAATGATACCTTCGAAAGTAGCTCGACAAATATTGACGTTTTTACGACGACGACTATTTCTATTTAATCTACTTTCGAAGTTAGCTCGACAAAATTAAATAGAAATTTGATTCTGTCGACGTAGCCTGTAAAGGCTACGAAACGTCAATAAATAAATAAAGTTTCGTGCATTAACCCGTAAAAAACTAGTTTTATTGGAACGAAGTTCCTTACGGCAGGCTTGGAGGGGATAGGGATTTTGCTGCGCGACCGAACTGGAAAAAAGTGCGTGGAATAAAACCGTTAAATGAGACGTGCGCAGGCGCGACAGAAAAAAAGTAATTTATTATTTCTTGTACTTAAATAAAAACTAATCAGCAAAATTTAAGAGAAATATCAAGAAAACCTACATAAAATTGAGCACGTTTTTTTTTACCATTTGTGTCGATTCTACATTAGCCGAAGGAACTTCGTTCCTACCTGGTGTCCCACGACACCACATCATTTTTTTTTTATTTTAAATAATTTCTTTGGACCATAAAAATAAAATTTTTCTTCCCACGTATACAGAAAAACTTATAATGATTATTCGTTTGTATTGACCGCGTGTGGTACACGTGTCCCAGTACTATAAATAGACGCTTGACACTTCAGTGGCGATGTGAATCGAGCCGGAGGTATGCACATGCTTTCTATAGCGTATCAAAATAGAAACTTATTAAAAAAAAGCGGTTAAGCGCGAGTTTAACTCGCCCATGAAGGTTTCTGTAGCAGCAAGTAATATAAAAAAAGTTCTTGTAGTTCGTTGTAACCTTGATCGATGTTTTAATAATAGTGTATTCATAATTTTTATTTTTTAAGCATGTAACTGCTTGATGTTTAAATCTAAAGAAAATATAGCTAGAAAAAATTCCACGCGGACCAGGCAGCAGACGGGACTCGAACCCGCACCCTTCGCTATCCGGGCGAATGCACTGACAAATTATGCTACCGCCGCCCTGATGGCCACGTCGAAATTCTTCAAGCCATTCTTAAGCTGCAAGGCAGCGCCATCTCTTCGCATTGTAGATAACCTACAATGTCAAATGAATACTTTTACAAGTATGAAACATTTAAAAGAAGAAATAGCAATTAGTTATAGTTATAATTTTTATTATTTTAAAGCACGTAACTGCTTGATGTTTAAATCTAATCCGGGCGAATGCACTGACCAATTATGCTACCGCGGCCCTCACGGACCGCGTCGAAATTCTTCTAACCATTCTTAAGCTGCAAGGCATTAGTTACATGTTTTTTTTATTTTTATATTCGTGTTGATTGAATGAAAGGTAAATTGCGGTTTACGATTTCTGATGTATTAAAAAAAATTAATTACTAGATATCGTTCAAACCAATTGCCGGTGGAAGTTTGCATGGTAATGTACATCATAAATTTTACACACACACATTTTACCACTTTGGAAGTGTCTCTCGCGCAAACTATTCAGTTTAAAAAAAAACTGTCATTAGAAACCTGAATATCATTTCTTCAATTTGAAGATCTATCCATAAATACCCTACACGTATGGGATTTATAAAAAATAAAATTTGAGTCTCAATTTTCCCCCAACCCCAAAATTTTTTGTTTTTTTTTGTGTGAAAATCTTAATGCGGTTCACAGAATACATCTACATACCAAGTTTCAACAGTATTGTTCTTAGTTCCTGAAAAAGTGGCTGTGACATACGGACGGACTGATACATGATGAACCCATAAGGGTTCCGTTTTTTGCCATCTGGCTACGGATCCCTAAAACTAAGTGACATATCTCTTCAAAGTTTGTGTTGTGTTGAAATAAATTTAAAAATAGTGATGATAAATCGATGGATTAAGTGTATATGGGATGAGTAATAATAAAGCGTTCGCTTATTTTCAAAAGTAATTTATAATCTTTTAGTCTTGCAACAATTTATAATCTTAAAGTTAAAGAATCGTTAAGAGATAAGTTTAAAGAATTTGGAATAGTGATAGTCGCATCACAATACATATACGAAAATTTATTACTTTTAAGAAAAAATATTAATTTGTTTCTTAAAAACAGTGATTTTCACACACTTAATACAAAAAACAAAAATAAACTAACTTTACCTGCTACTAGGCTTCACAAAATTAATAATTCATTTAAAGGTCTTTGTGTTCGCTTATACAATAAAGTCCCAAGCAATATCCAGGAGTTAACTATAAATAAATTTAAAGATAATATAAAAAAACCGGCCAAGTGCGAGTCGGACTCGCGCACCGAGGGTTCCGTACAAACCTGCAAGGTTTACAAAGTTCGTTCATTACGACAATCGAGTCATAACTATGGTATTTTTATTGCAAAATGAAATTCATAAACACTTTAAGCAGTTAGGACGCATTTAGATTATACAGCTACATTCACCAAAACATCGGGATTGAATGACGATGAGTGAGGTCGTCTTTGCCGTTTGAAAAATGTTGCCCTCCCCATACATAGTATAATAACTCGCGGTCATTGCTGTAACTACAATTATGTTTACAATCACAATTTTTTGGTGGTATAACTACTTAAAATTTTAAGCTTTTCGGAATTTTTCTGTTACCTGTGCTGTAAGCTATTGCTTCTTACCAAATTTCGAGATTCTATGTCAACGGGAAGTGGTCTTTAGGTTTTAATTCCCTTGCGTGTAGTTGCGAGTTTCAAAATATGCGGTATCAATGGTTGTACTTTTGCGTTTTGCGTTTAGGCGTTGACTTAGATTTTTTTTTTTCACGGGTTAAAGGCAATTAGATCTAAGTATTTGATATGAATTTCAACTTGATAGCTCTACGCGTTCATGAGGAAAAAAGTAATAAGTTTATATTTATTAAAAAATATATATTTTGTAATGTAACTAAAAATTTAAGGTTTTCGGAATTTTTCCTTTATGTGTGCTATAAAACGTTGCTTCATGCCAAATTTCAAGATTCTAGGTCGACTGGAAGTACCCTTTAGGTTTTGATTCCCTTGCGAGTACTTGCGAGTTTCAAAATATGCAGCTTAAATTGCTGTTTCTTTTGATTGCGTTGACATAGAAGTTTGATTTTGTTACAGCTTAAAGGTATTATAGACCTGAGTATTTGGTATGAATTTCAATTTAATACCTCTACGCGTTTATGAGGAAATGGGTAGTAAGGTTAAAATTATTAAAAAAAAATATATTATGTGATGTAACTAAAAATTTATGGTTTTCGTAATTTTTTCTTTATCTATGCTATAAGACGTTGCTTGGTACCAAATTTCAAGATTCTGAGTTCACGGGAAGCACCCTGTAGGTTTTGATTCCCTTGCAAGTGTCGAAAATTTGCGGCATAAACGGCTGTATCTTTTGATTGCGTTGGCTTAGAAGTTTGATTTTTTCACAGCTTCAAGGGACAGTAGACCTGAGTAATTGATATAAATTTCAGCTTCATACCTCCACGCGTTCCTGAGAAAAAGGGTCTTGACAGACGGACGGACGGACAGACGGACAACAAAGTGATCCTATAAGGGTTCCGTTTTTCCTTTTGAGGTACGGAACCCTAAAAAGCACTTATTAAAAAAGCTTATTACAAAGTGTCTGATTACATTACAGACAAAAATGCTTGGGTTTGAACTGTTCCAATCATTCCAACAGGTTTTCTATATTAAATAAATCATAATTGTATTGACATTGTAACAACATAATGATTGTAAATGTTGTTACATTAGACTTTTAATGTTGTGGAGTTTTTTTCGCTCGTTTTTCTCCGCAGCTAAAAATATGTCCATAACCAGTGGTAGGGAAAAAAAACATTTTGACGATTCAAAAGAGTACTTTACATCAAATTTGAATAAAGATATATTGATTTCTGATTTGAATTTAATTAAGAAATTATATGTATAGAAGTATTAAATTAGCATTTTAAACTCGTCGAAACAGTGTTTTATTTAATAAGAAATTAATCTTCAACACTGGCTTAGTGGGATTTATAAAAAAACTTTTTTACAAAAATAAAAAAAAACACTTGATTAAAACAAAACCACTAAACAGTAAGAAACAATGCATATTCCTTACTTATGTCTACATTTAAAGTCAAATTAACTTTTGGAGTCGGTGCTATGAATATTGATAGATGTATGGATAGATGTGAGTTGCCATTTACTGCTTGGGTTGACATGGCACCGATTCCAAATATTAATTTGACTTTAAATGTAGACATAAGTAAAGCAAATGAATTATTTATTATTTTTTAGTGGTTTTATTATTATGAAGTCGGTTTTAATTTTTGTTAACAAAGTTTTTTATTCTTCACTTAAGCTTGGCTTATAAATAAGCCAGAGCAACATAAACTTACTAAATATGGATGTCGGGCCTGCAATCTGTCTTTCATATTTCTTAAAATAACAAAACACGATATGTGTACTGTTCGTATTTCGGGAGTTCCGTTGTCTATCTCCGAAAGTATATATCAGATCATTATCTAATTAATAAGGAACCAAGATGGCTAACAAACTCTTCCAAACAAAGAACGAATCATCAAAAAATCGGTCCACAAACCTCTGTGATATAGGCGAACAACAATAAAAATATAGATTTTCTTTCTTTTAATATATTCAGGTAAGCAATGACTCTACCCCACCTGATGTTAAGTGGTGATAAAGTCCACAGCAGTTATAAACTGTTACACCAACCATCCTTACCTTGCCGGCTTGCAAGAATGCTTCTGCACGCCTTTCTTAAAGGACCCCAGATCGTAGGAATTAGGGAAGGACGTGCGCGGGCAAAGAATTCCACTTATGAATATAATATAAAATGACGAACTGAGAACCTCCTCCTTTTGGAAGACGGTTAAATGTCAGTAAACCACACTCTCCATAAAACGGCGAGATGTCGATAAGCCAGATTGTCATTGCTATACGATCTTTAATACAGCGGCCGACGGATTGCAATTAACTATTGTTTTCATAAGTAAGGCAAATTCTATTTTGCATACTTACTTACCTCCTTAAATTATGTAGTCACTGAACTGTACGCAGTAATCATAATGATCATGTCTTCGTCACCCCCCAGGCATACCGCACAGTTCAGTAGGGCTGAGCGAGTATATCTATGGCACTAGCTATCGAGACGAACTTCTTAGCAATCCATGGATTCACCGTGCGGGTGCGGGGTACTTCGTGTGTGAGAGAGAGAAACTCTGAGCAGTTCCCGGGACTTGCAACCCAGATGGAGGTTTAAAAAGGTCCCCTTTAAGATGTGTATCAACGCTCATCTTCACTGCTCGAGTTGTCCGCCCTTCCCAGGCAAATTTGATAGGAGCCTTAGTTAATAGTTCCAAAATTGAACTTACTGCAGTTCCGCAGTAAAAGATAGGCCTAGGTCTTTTAGAAGGATATAGAGAGATTTTGCTGGTAATCTCGCTCCTACTTCTACCGCAGTGTGACCAGATTTAAATTAGCCATTATGCTATCGGCTGAGCTTAAATCAGCTAAATTCTGCTAAACTTTCTTTGAAAATTACTAAAATTCTGCTAACTAATTATACATTTACTTTTTATGGAAATATGTAAAATAAAACTGGTTGTATTAAGTATATATTTTTCATTGATAAAATTTATTATTAAAATTAAATTGTTATTCAGTCATGTTAACGTTTTTATACAGGACCTCCGAGTTTTGGGCTAATTTCATCATATTTTTTGACGGTGTAAAATTTACGCAACCATCTTCTTTTACTGTTTGCTTAACATGAAGAACTACAGAAACATGTTTATTTGTAAATCTGTTTCTTATATCTGTATTTACATTAATTTCATATTGGAGGCTTTACAAAAAGCGGCATTTGTGTCATCCTTGGCTCTTGATAGCCAGTATGAAAACTAAGGAATATCTTCCAACACCGAGTGGTAGTTTGGATCATATTTTCTTTTCATTTTTTGCACACACGATACACCGTTGACAAAGGACTACTAAACAGTTATAATCATAATCATAATCAAAATCATTTATTTAGTTTAGGCTGTTACAAGCACTCATGAATGTCTAGAAGCTACGCCATCGGTTCGTAAATCTACGGCGGGAGACCTTGTACTGAGAAGAACCGGCAAGAAACTCAGCAAGGGCTGTTTTTTTCTCCCTGTTTTATTATTTACAGAGTCGTCAAATTGAAAAATGACTTCAGAGGTGATTCATGAAGTCACTTTTCATTACATAATTATTAAATATACATTAATTGTTTACCTGCATTTTGATTGCTGTGTCATATAGTATAAATACAAATAGTGTTATTTATATTCAGTGTGACTAAACATTAACTTCAATATTAAGGAAGTTAGGGCAGACTCATCTCCGCTGGCAGCACCCGTTCATTCAGTTAACCGCCTAATCCAATACAAAGAAAATTCACTTGCTTTTACTGATACAGCTCCTCAAGGGAAAATACCGATTTTGCATGTTTCGGGAGTTCCCCTGAAAAGGGTGCGTAGCACAACAAGAAAAAATCGTACAGTAATTGGAAATTGTATTTTTTTAATGTTTTGCACAATTTTTCAAATAAAAGTCATAAAATATCCAAATCTGCTAATATTCTGCTGAAATCTTTTAACTTTTTCTAATCTGCCACATAATCTGCTAAAATCGCAGACTTCTGCTAAAAATGGTCACACTGTTCTACCGCATATAAAGATAAATAAATAAAATAAAAAAAGTAGGTAGACAGCCATTTTTAGTTAGTTCATTAACCAATATCACGTAGTAATCATTGTATTTTCGTCTCCCCCCAGGCATACCCCACAGTTCAGCGGGTCTGAGCGTGTCGCAGCCCCTGGTGCCATCCAACACGATCTTCTACCAGCACGCGCCCACGGACACCCATCCCACCGGTAACTACGCCTGTAAGACAATGTTCTCTTGTACGCTTCAAGTAGTTAGCATGACCACGGTAATATTATCTATACAGTATTCTATCTTCATACAAACGGTCGGAAAGCGCGTCATATCTACGCCACTTGAGTTCGCGCGGCACCCGGTGGGCATCCAGTTGCGAATGCGCCGCAGCGACGACCGAACGGTGTGAATTGTTAAGCAGTTAGCCGTGACTAAGCGTTTGTATTGTGAATATTTATTAAATAAAGTAGATACCTACATAATTTTATATGGCAATAGTCGATAGTCGATATTGTGCTGTTTTTGGTTGCTTGAACTGTTCAATAATTAAACTTTTCATACGAATGCGTATTTATTATACTATTAAATTTAATAATAAAGCTTTCCGTACGTCTCAGTCGAGGCGTAAATATTTTTCTGTCTCAAATCTAAATATACATTTTTGAAGTTATACTTCTTTAGGCGCGTTATGAAAAAATTATGAGAGTGAAATTTTAAGATGCGCGCGCATCACTGTAACACAAAATTTTAACAGCATGAAGTTGGTCGCTTTAGCGACCAACTTCATGCGTTACTTTTGTGTTTACCGCACATAAAGAAAATCTACCAACCAAATAGAAATAGAATCTCTATTTAGTGGGTGCTAACGACTGCATTGTGAAGGCCTATCAAAAGTATTTATTAATCTGGAACAACGGAACCAAAGCGCGATTCAGGAGACTACAGCGCCATCTCTTGACCATTGGTGTAGTAGAACCAAAAACCACATCTTTATTTTTTGTAATAAAGTAACAGTTATAGGTATTCATATTTATAATATTTATCCACATGTTTCTAGTTTGTATATTCGGAATACGTGTTTGAGTTTCATACAAGTGCAAATCACATATGTTCTAATAAATTATATTCAGTAGCGATTTTAATTGAATATTTTGATTATTTATTTATTTTTTCAAATTAAAACTGAACTTTATTGACTGTGTCCTTTTCCAGACTTTTTATTAATTTATTGTAATTAATTATTTGCATGCAATTAAAAACTAATTTTAAACGATGCCAAAGAAGGATAACTTCTCACGCGCCTACATAAGTACACGCACCCATTTTTTATTAAATATTACACTTAAAATAATATGTACTTTATGTAACACTTCCTAATTCAGGCACAACATCAGTATTTACAATCACAAAAGTAGAAAGAAACTCAATTACGTAGATGAAATTAAAATACTGAAGGCGGGCAGCCCTTCCGCGTGGACACGCCTCGCTCGGCTGTAGGCAGTTATTTCAAGGACAGAACCGAGTCACAATACTGTATAGATAATATTACCGTGGCATGACGTATTAGAGCGGACGCGAGCTGAGAGACTCTTAAGAAGTAGGTATTTGAAAAACCTATTGCTGTCGCGCATTGATAAATACCGTGCGATATCCCTATGTTGTCCCCAAAGTCCCCAACAGTAGCTAACGCTGAAAATTTCGTATAAAAATTTGCAATATACGAGGTTTGGCTCTCTACGATTTCCCCCCGAAAATTATGTAATTTCTTTAGTGATAAAAATCAAGGGGGAATCTGTCGAGAACGTTTGCATGGAAAGAACATTGGCCGCCTCCTCTCTTAAGAGTGGCAGCGTACCGGGAGACGCAGCATTGGTAGGCCCCCCACAAGGTAGACCGATGATCTGGGGGCCAATCGCCTCACAGGATCACTCTGGCTATCACTATTGCTTACGAATTCATTTTGTTATTTTTGACCGTCGAAAGTTGTCAAATGCCTCGTGCTCTTTTTTACAAGCTTTTTTTTTATTATTTTATTTTTAACTTGCAATGTATGTTTGTTCGGGTGAAATCTTACAACTCAATTTTTAAGGCACTTGCCCTGAACCGATTGAGCTGAAATTTGGTATGCACGTTCAGTTCGGATGACAACGCATGATTAACAGTATGACGTCATTCTAAATCCAACATGGCTGCATACCCAACGTGGCGGACCAAACATTTTTAATGCATTCGTACAATATGGGTATCAAATTTAAGGGTTTGCTGAGAGTAGCTCGAAAAACATGTGACGTCACTCTTAATCCAATATGGCGGACTTCTAAAACTTGAAAATCAATTTTGAAACAGATATTTGTAACCGATTGAGCTGAAATTTTGCATACACGTTCAGTTTGGATGACAATGCATGGTTAACTGTATGACGTCATTCTAAATATAACATGGCGTCATATCCAAAATAGCGGACCTATCATTTTTAATGTATTTGGAAGACCGATCGGTTTGGAATTCCTAGGGGGTTGCCTATTTCCAGCAGCATCTCTCGGCTGATTTGATAATGATGATTAGAAGAGGTGATGGAGAGGCCAGTGTCTGCCCGTGTTCCTGCAGTAGTGTTATTAACAGACTGATGATGGTGATTAATATGACGACTTGATTATTAATATGGGCTCGATAGTGCATGTGGTTAGCGCGTTCGGTCTGCGATCGTGAAAGTTAAGCAACTTTCACAATGGTCGGTCATTGGATGGGTGACCAAAACCTTATTACCTCGAATGCAAAGTGTCGCAATGACTTTTATATAATACAAAACAGATAGTTATGTATATTTGTCAATTTTATCGACAAATCGATTCGCAATGATTCTTATTTGATCTTACCAATGTGCTGGAAATCTGGTTTTACGACCTCCGTGGCCGTGTGGTTTATATGCCGGGTTTCATGGTGTTGCCGACTCAAGAGGTCCCGGGTTCGAATCCCGGTGGGGGCAGATGTTTGTGTGATGATTACGAGCATTTGTACTCCAGTCATGGATGTTTATATGTATTTCTATATAAATCTAATATATATATATTTCTCGTGTCGCGGTGTTTGTGGTTTAACTCCTCCGACACGGCTTTCCCGATTCTCATGAAATTTTGTGTGCATATTGGGTAGGACTGAGAATCGAACAACATCTATTTTTCATCCCCCTAAATGTTAAGGGTAATCCACCCCTAAATTTTTTTTTTCAATTTTAGATATTTTTTTTATTTTTTTTTATGATACAGCATTAGTAAATACATACTACCCTAAATTTTCACCCTTCTACCACCAACCCCTATTTTTTTATGGCGGTACGAAGTTCGCTGGGTCAGCCAGTATACTTATATATGTACAGTATATGTATTCTATCCGTTACCCTAGTGTCCCATAACGCTTACTTTGGGGTTAGGCTAATTGGTGGTGGTGGTGTGGTGGTGGTACAAATAAATGATCACGAGTTTAAAGCAAACATTGTGTCTGTGTCAGCAGCATCGGAAGCGCTGAGCAGTCAACACTCGGGCAAGTACGACGGCGCGCCGCAGGACTCACTCGGGGACTTCGTCACGTTCGTATGTCAGGAGCCTCCCGCTGACGTCCAGCAGTTGCAGGTAAGTTCTACAGTTCTTTGACGCGATAACGTCTTTTGTTTGTTTAAGTTAGGTCTTAAAAATAGATGAACACCAGCTGTACGCACGAAAAAGTGTCACGTTATGTCATGAGTCACGTTATCTGACGTCGCATCACGTTAGTTCAACCATCAAATTAACGTGACAACGTTCTGCGGTGTTTATGAGGATCCCTACAACCCTACCTCCCCTTCTCCTGATTTCCCTGTCCCCCTTCCCCCTCGAAGAATAACTCACCCCTGCGGAGCGTAACTCGGACTCCCATAGAGCTACAGAGGTGTGCTTGAACTCAAATGATCCGGAACAAGCCCCACAAAGCCGCTTCGAGGAAAACAGCGAATAGGCGCGTCTACACAGAGCGAGCAGCCTTGCGAGGCAATTGCCGCGCGAGGCAGCTCGGTTAATGTAGACGTGCCTCGGCCGAGGCAAACGCTCGCTGCCGCGGGCGAGCGACTGAGCGCCCGAGCCATCGAGTGTCAGTTTATTGTTTTGCTCAAAGGCGCCTCAGTCGTTTGCCGCGCGCACTCTGGACGCTCTCGTCTTTTGTTTCGTGCCTCGGTCGAGCATAATTTTTAAAAAGTGTTATCGCTCGACGCCAGTTTGTATCGTTTCTTTGAAGTGTGCTTTGCAAGTTTGAACACAATAGATCCAACTCCCCTGCATTAGCCCGTGCAAAAGTTTTCTCCATTCCATTATTAATCAATTCTTGGTACAGTTCGTTTCCATTATATAATAATTTGCTTTTCTATAATGTCTGGATCTAATATCGTCTTCGTTTCAGTTTTTGTTATCTTCTCTTTTTTTATAATCCTGTCTGAATTCTTAACTGAACGAACGAACAAAATGGCTCGGGATTGCCGCGCGCGGCAGCCTCGTGGTGACACTGAGGCTGCCGCGCTCGTTCGGGGACAGTTTCCTCGCGCGGTAAATGCCTCGCGAAGCTGCTCGCGCTGTGTAGACGCGCCTACACTATTTTTATCACGTAAAAATAGCCTCCTTAAACCGACTTTGCAGACAGCCAAATTTTTTATGTCAAAAGGTTGGCAAAAAAGCGTATGGCCCGCCTTTTTTCTATAGATAGGTCCGACAAATGACTCCACCCCACCTAATGTTTAGTGACGGTGAAGTCTAGAAATGAAGATAGCTGGTACAGCAGTTCTACCTGCCACACCAACCATCCTCACATTTCCGGCCTCCATGTTGCGTCTTCACGCCCCTTATAAAGGATCCTTATCCAGTTTGATCCATCTTACCATCAGGTTCGCCTAATGGTAAGCGACCACCATAGCTGTAGATGCTTGCGATACCGAAATTAATATCACTCGTGTTGCGTACCTCGACCCAATCCCATATTCCCCCCCCCCCCCCCCCACCCCAAGTCAAGCGTGCGTAAAGTAGTTTCACTTCAACAAAGTAACGTTAAATAAAACTAGTTTTTACGGGTTAATGCACGAAACTTAATTTATTTATTGACGTTTCGCAGCCTTTTCAGATCTGCATCGTCAGAATAATGATTTTGATTGAAGGTAGCTCGACAATTTTAAAATCATTATTCTGACGATGCAGACCTGAAAAGGCTGCGAAACGTCAATAAATAAATAAAGTTTCGTGCATTAACCCGTAGAAACTAGTTTTATTTAATGAGTGATGTGCGTGAAAACCTAATAACGTTAAGTTAGTTAATAGTTTGTGGTGAGAAACATTATTTAGCGGCTGAAACTGGGGCAAAGTTGGTGTCTGACAAATACCTTCAAAACACTGAATCACGGTAATATTATCTATACAGTATTCTATCTTCATACAAACGATTGGAAAGCGTGTCATACCTACGTCACTCGAGTTCGCGCGGCACCCGGTGGGCATCCAGCGACGACCGAACGGTGTGAATTGTTTTTAAGCAGTTAGCCGTGCTTAAACGTTTGTATTGTGAATATTTGATATTGAGTGAAATTTTGATAATAATTAAGTAGATACCTACATAATTTAATATGCCAAAGAGCAATAGTCGATATTGTACTGTTTTTGGTTGCTTGAACTCTTCAATAATAATTAAACTTTTTATTAGAATGCGTATTTATTATACTATTAAAGATTTTCGTACGTCTCAGTCGAGGCGTAAATATTTTTTTGTCTAAGATCTATATTTTTGTTTATTAAATATTACACTTAAAATAACATGTATTTTATGTAACACTTCCTAATTCATTCACAACATATTTTTTTACATGTGAAATATAATATTTACAGTCACAAAACTAGAAAGAAACTCAATTATGTAGGTAGCTGAAATTAAAATACTGTAGGCGGGCAGCCCTACCGCGTGTCTACGCCCCGCTTGGCCGTAGGCAGTTATTTCAAGGACAGGGCCGAGTCACAATACTGTATATAATATTACCGTGACTGAATGAAATATTTCGGCACACACGAACCAATATCGAATTCGAAAACTTGAATTCCATTTCGAAACGCGTCAAATGTCAAGAGGTTTCGTATGTCAGATTTTTAGTTCCCGTTACGGCCGTCGGGTCGCTGCTAAGAGTTCCATACAAAATTTCTAAAACGCGGTACGTTTCTTAGTGTAGCAGAACTGGTGTCAAATATACACTGTAGAGAAAATCGGTTGGCTATATACAAAACATTTATTCTCCTTTTCACATGTGAGAATTGTACAAAGTAACCGCATTTGACGACCTCCGTTGCTGAGTGGTTTGTACGTCGGGTTTCATGGTGACGCCGACTCGAGAAGTCCCGGGTTTGAATCCCGGTGGGGGCAGATGTTAGTGTGATGAATACGAGCATTTGTACTCCAGTCATTAACGTTTAATATGAATTTCTGTTTCTATTGCTATTTCTTCTTTCAAATGTTTAATATTTGTAAAATTAATCATTTGACATTGTGGGTTACCTACAATGCGAAGAAATGGCGCTGCCTTGCAGCTTAAGAATGGCTAGAAGTATTTCGACGCGGCCCTGATGGCCGCGTAATTGGTCAGTGCATTCGCCCAGATAGCGAAGGGTGCGGGTTCGAGACCCGTCTGCTGCTTCGTCCGCTTGGAATTTTTCTAGTTATATTTTCTTTAGATTTGAACATCAAGCAGTTACATGCTTAAAAAATAAAAATTATAACTATATGTATTTCTATATAAATATACTTTTAAATTTACAGTATATGTATTCTATCCGTTACCCTAGCATCCCATAACATAAGCCTTATAGTGCTTACTTTGGGGCTAGGCTAATAGGGGTGATGACGGGGTACAGTAAACGAAATTCTATTAAGTTCGTTAGTTAGATGATCAAAAAATAATGGACACGTATTTTTCTTTGGGCAATCAACCAAAAAATGACAAAGTTATATCGCGTCAAAGTTTGGGAGTAGGGACTCGAGACGTCACTTTTGAGTGAATTTTCACTTATAAGTGTACTCAAACGTGACGTCATGCGACTTTTCAAATCAATATATCACTGCAATGTTTATATTATGTGAAAAAAGAAAAATACATGTCCAATACTTTATGATAATCTACCTGATAAACGAAGAAAAAAAATTAGTCATCATCCCTATTGGTGTGAGTGTTGGAAATATTTATTTATTTGTCTATTGTCCACGTAGGTCCACGCGTTATCGCGGAGTCCGAAGCCAGCGTACTTCAGCAGTACGATGCTGCCCCCGCCCCCGCTACCGCCTATGGCGCGCCCCGTCGCCATCATCCGCTCCACCGGTGAGTACAGTAAGTTGAACGTATCACTTCACTATTATTCATAACTTTAATATGCACACGGACAAATACACCTGAGGAGCAATCGTTGAAATTAAGAAAATTTCGCAGTGGTCCGTCATTGGATGGGTGACCAAAAATCTTCTATCTGGAGCTCCTCCGTGCTTCGGAAGGCACGTTAAGCCGTTGGTCCCGGCTGCATCTGCAATCGTAAGCACCCGCTAATCCGCACTGGGCCCGCGTGGGGGGTCTTGGCCCAATATCCCTATTCCATCCATAGGGAAGACCTATGCTGCAGCAGTGGGGACATTAATAGGCTGATAATGATCGCTGAGTTAAAACCTCGCGTACTTTTCCCGCCTCCGCTACCGTCTATGGCTTGCTTGTACCGAAGTTACCTGCAGCATTTGATAATGGAAACGGGGACATATTAACCAATAAAATTGCACTTTGCACCAAAAACCTCGGTGTACCAGAAAAGCTCTTATAACGTGTGCATTAAGGTATACAATAGAATTCCAAATCAATTCAAGCACGGACCTGTAAAATTAATGGTAAAAAAGTTACGGGCCTGGTTAATAAGTAAATGTTTTTACAGTACAAAAGATTTTTTATTATGAATTAATAATTGCAATTTTGTTGACAAATGAAGAAATGGCTATTGACTTAAAAAAAAAATGGTTGCCTGTAAAGTCGGTTTTACGGGCGAAGATTTTACGTGACAACGTCTTTTTCTCGGTAGAATATTTATTGATATGAATATAATTAAATTGCACAATAGGAACAAGGAATTGAATGAAAATAAGAATTGCACAAATTTTAACTATAGAAATATATTTTGTTTACTAAAACATTGTACATGTAAACTTAAACTCATCGTAACGTTACCGAGCGTTACACTTTTTCATAAGTGACTCCCAGCCGCAACCTAATTTAAGACGTTGTCACGTCAAAATGACATGTATTGTATAATTATTATGTGTAATATAATGAATAGTTATTATATTTATTAATTATTGTAATTGTGTTGACATAATGAAGAAATTGCTATTGAATTAGAAAATTTAGAATGCAACTATTACTCAATTTAAATCTGATTTTGACGTGACAACGTCTTAAATTAGGTTGCGGCTGGGAGTCACTTATGAAAAAGTGTAACGCTCGGTAACGTTACGATGAGTCTCTCGTGTTAAGTTTAAGTTTACATGTACAATGTTTTAGTAAACAAAATATATTTCTATAGTTAAAATTTGTGCAATTCTTATTTTCATTCAATTCCTTGTTCCTATTGTGCAATTTAATTATATTCATATCAATAAATATTCTACCGAGAAAAAGACGTTGTCACGTAAAATCTTCGCCCGTAAAACCGACTTTACAGGCAACCATTTTTTTGACGTGACAACGTCTTAAATTAGGTTGCGGCTGGGAGTCACTTATGAAAAAGTGTAACGCTCGGTAACGTTACGATGAGTCTCTCGTGTTAAGTTTAAGTTTACATGTACAATGTTTTAGTAAACAAAATATATTTCTATAGTTAAAATTTGTGCAATTCTTATTTTCATTCAATTCCTTGTTCCTATTGTGCAATTTAATTATATTCATATCAATAAATATTCTACCGAGAAAAAGACGTTGTCACGTAAAATCTTCGCCCGTAAAACCGACTTTACAGGCAACCATTTTTTTTTAAATAATTTATTAGTATTTCAGCCTCTGATAGATAAGGGCTATCAGTACATTATTCGTTCCATAATATAATCCCCTTATTAATAAACGATGACCACGCATGGATTAGTTACTTCCATAGATAAATTATTGGTCTCGCTAGGGAAGCGAGACGACCTCCGTGGCCGAGTGGTTTGTACGCCGGGTTTCATGGTGTCGCTGACTCGAGAGGTCCCGGGTTCGAATCCCGGTGGGGGCAGATGTTTGTGTGATGAATACGAGCATTTGTACTCCAGTCATGGATGTTTAATATGTAATTCTGTATAAATATATTTATATATGTACAGTATATGTATTCTATCCGTTACCCTAGTTATCCCATAACACAAGCCTTATAGTGCTTACTTTGGGGCTAGGCTAATTGGTGTGAGTGGCAATATTTATTTATTTATTTTATTTATGGTTACTTCATGTTCTGTCTCTGTCTATTTAATACCAAATGGCATTTGAGTGACACGAACTATACACGGCGTAAATAGTCTAAGCTTCATCATCATCAGCCTATTAATGTCCCCAATGCTGGGGCACAGGCCTTCCCTATGGACGGAATAGGAAGATTGGGCCATGACGTACCACGCGGGCCCAGTGCGTATTGGCGGGTGCTAACGACTGCAGATGCAGCCGGGACCAACGGCTTAACGTGCCTTCCGAAGCACGGAGGAACTCGAGATAGATGTTTTTGGTCACCCATCCAATGACCGACCACTGCGAAAGTTGCTTAACTTCAACCATTGCAGCTGAACGCGCTAACCACTTGCGCCATCGAACTCCTCAGTCTAAGCTTATTCCTTGTTTATTTATAACGGGGTATGACTGCGTTATGCTAGCCATACACACTACGAGAAATCGTTACGATCAGACTGAACAGTTCGAACGGAACAGTTTATCGTACGTGGCGAACGTATAGAAAACTGTGCAGTTTTATAACATACACGCTACGATTTATCGGTACCGTTCGAACTGTACAGTCTGATCGTAACGATTTCTCGTAGTGTGTATGGCTAGCATTATTTGTGTAAATTTAGGTAGATACCTACTTGGTCAGCTAAGTACCAATAGTTTAATGTAAACTATTTCTATGCGATTCAAATAAGAATAGGAAAGCCAACGAGCTCCATCTGTCAAATGTCGCTAGAAAAGTACGGTTAGCAAAAAAATCTTGGAACACTTTTTTTAGCACTGAGCTAATCTTAGAAGAAATACCAAACAAAATGAGTAGGTACTAGAAAAAGGAAATATAAGAACTTAAGTTTTATTATAAATACAGGTAAGAAAAATACCGTTTTTATTTTTTTATTTATTTAATTTAGGTAACAAACAGTCTTATACAAACAATTTTACAATTTATGTTTACAAATAGACCTAAAGTACCATTAATTGATATATAATTATTATATTCAAGCGGCATAAAAGTGACGGATAACTGTAAACATATGATATACATCGCCGCCGCACATGTTGTACTATTTCAACAATAATTCACTCACTTTCCTTTTGAAGTTGTAAAGTGATTCACTGAAAATATCTGCTTCATTCAAGTTCTTATTGTAAAAATTACATGTCCGTCTAAAAAAAGTTTCTCTAGCATAGTTGGTATGACAACTCGAAACATAAAAGGTATCTTTTGTTAAGTTGCGGTTTAAAACCTAAAATTAGTGATATTTTATTTTATAGCCGAAAGCATCAGTGATGCGGATGGCGATTATGATGACTACTCCGACGGTAGTGCAGAGATGAGCGGAATTAAAGAGCTAGATTCTGATTAACGTTTTTTCTCACTCAGTCTTAATAAATCAATATTGTTAAAAATCTAACACTTTTTGTCACTTTATCTTGGTAAATAGGATTTCTTAAAGTTAAACCAATTTGCTCAATTTACTTAACCGGTTTGAATTGATAGCTATGACGTCACAAAATGGCGCCCAGCCGGTCCTATTTTTAGGGTGTATTCCGAAATATACATTAGTATACTGGCCAGTGGTAACGACGTCACGAAGCCGACGCCATATTGTACTGGTATGCTACCATATTTTTACCAGGAAAACGAATATGACGTATGAGCGAGCGTGCGTGAGATGCATTAGAATTTTATTTCCTTTTTCTTTAAAGAACAATAATGACATCCGAACATAAAGAATTCTTTTTAATTGATAAGGTGAATAATAAGTCTTTATTCGCACAATTTTTAATATTCCGTCGATTTATGACGTCAGTTCACTGGCCAGTATATTTCGGAACAATTCACCAGTATAACGTCGATTTATGACGTCATTAGCATTGGCCAGTATACTGGTATATGTTACGGAATACACCAAAATTCAATTCAAAATTCAATATTGTTTATTCAGTCTAGGCTGTTACAAGCACTTGTGAATGTCGAAAAGCTACGCCATCGGTTCACAAATCTACGGCGGGAGACCTTGTACTGAGAAGAACCGGCAAGGAACTCAGCAAGGGATGATTTTTTCTCCCTGTTTTGTTTCATACAGTGTCGTCCAATTGAAAGTTGAAATCAAACTTGCAAAGATGTGTTGAGGTCAACTTCCATCACATAATGTTCACACCCTTAAGGTAGCCATACACACTACGAGAAATCGTTACAATTAGACTGTACCGTCCGAACGGTACCGATAAATCGTAGCGTGTATGTTATAAAACTGCACAGTTTCCTATACGTACGCCACGTACGATAAACTGTTCCGTTCGAACTGTACAGTCTGATCGTAACGATTTCTCGTAGTGTGTATGGCTACCAAGGGCGGATCCAGTTTTGGCGCCAGGGGGGGGTCATATAGCCAGCTTTGGCGCCAGGGGGGGGTCATATAGTCGTGGTATATTAAATATTGAAAGTACTTAAATAAAATCCCCCTGGGTTTGGTCCATCTGTACCCAGCCCAGGGGGGGGGGGTCATGACCCCCATGACCCCCCCCCCCCTGGATCCGCCCTAGATGGCTATCCTTAGTTGAATCGCATCGTACATGAGTTGTCGTGATCCCCGCAGCCAGCGAGCTAGTCCCGGGCGGGGGTTCCCCCGGGCCGGCGTCGCCGCGCTCGCCGCCCACGTCGCCGCGCCGCCGCTCGCCGCACTACCGCGCCGACTGCCACGCCTTCCCGCCCTACCACCAGCAACAGGTGAGTACATGAGCTCTACTGTCTTTCTCCGAAACGAATTCCGGGGTCGATTCACTCAAAGCAGCCTACAATTCTGCTTCCAAGGCCTGTAAGAAGGCTTACATCGGAGCGGATGCCCAGCGTGTTGCGCGTATTGGCCAGGAACTTATAACGCATCCTGCGGGCTCCCGTAGCTACTGGCGTTTGGCCAAGGCCGTGCAAAAAAACTTCTGCCAGCCCTCGCTGCCACCTCTGAGATGCCCAGACGGAACACTAGCTCATAAGCCGCAGGAGAAAGCCGATTTACTGGCAAAACTCTTTGCGGCTAACTCCCGAATCGATGATTGCAATGCACTGCCACCATCATTACCTCACTGTGGCACAACGATGCCTGATATTAAAATCAGGCAACGCGAGGTTCGTGCCGAATTGCAATCACTCGACGTCCGGAAAGCTAGTGGACCTGATGGCATCCCAGCAGTAGTACTTAAAAAATGTGCAGCGGAGTTGTCTCCCGTGCTCACGCGCTTGTACCAATGCTCGTATTCTTTGGGACGTGTGCCGGAGACTTGGAGAGATGCTAACGTGCAACCGGTGCCCAAAAAAGGGGATCGCTCAGACCCGGCAAACTACCGGCCAATAGCAGTCACCTCAGTTTTATGTAAATTTCTAGAAAAGGTTCTTAATAACCATCTACCTAGAGGATCACTCCCTGATTAATGATCGTCAATATGGATTTAGACCGAAACGATCGACGGGTGATCTTCTAGCGTACTTAACTCATATCCTGGGTGAGGCTATCGACAAGCGTGGCGAGTCGTTCGCTATCAGCCTTGGCATTGCCAAGGCGTTCGACAGGGTCTGCCATAAAAGCCTTCTCTCCAAGCTTCCGGCATACGGTCTGCCAGCCCAGTTCTGTTCTTGGGTAGCTGACTTCCTGCATGAGCATAGAATTCGTGTCCTTACGGATGGTAGCAGTTCGCGGTTCATGCCAGTGAATGCCGGCGTTCCCCAGGGCTCCGTCCTATCCCCCACTCTCTTTCTGCTGTATATCAATGACTTGATTTCTCTTGGGAATATTCATTGCTATGCAGATGATAGTACAGTGCATGCGGGGTATCTCGGACAAGCAGCGGCTGGGCAGGCCGAAACCAAGGAGAAACGGGAAAATCTTGTCATTGAACTCAATCAGGCTTTGGACCACATTTCCGAATGGGGTACCAGGAACTTGGTTGAGTTCAATGCCAAGAAAACTCAGGCTTGCGCTTTCACGGCAAAAAAATCGCCATTCGTTCCCCTTCCATCTCTTCAGGGCACAACACTACCGCTGCAGAGCAACATTTCCATGCTCGGTATGGAAGTTCGCTCAGACCTGAATCCAAAGGACTACATCGAAACCGTGATCAAAACAGCTTCACGCAAACTCGGAGTCCTGAACAAGGTGCGGCGTTTTTTCACGCCTGATCAACTGTGCTTGTTGTACAAAACGCAAGTGCGGTCCTGTGTGGAATATTGCTCGCACCTCTGGGATGGCTCCGCCAAGTACTTGCTCGATGCTTTGGATAGGTTACAGCGGCGCGCGATCCGCATCATAGGCGATGAGGAGGTGACTAAACACCTTGAGCCTCTTCAATTACGCCGTGACGTGGCGTCACTAAGCGCGTTCTATCGTTTGTACCACGGCGAGTGTTCTGAGGAGTTATTCTCTCTTATCTCACCTTCCCCTTTCCTTCAGAGGACCACGCGCGCTGGCCTAAGTTGTCACCGTCTTACTGTGGCCACAATTCCAACGCGTACAAAGAAATTTGGTGACTCATTTCTTTGTCGCACTATCCGTAAATGGAATGCTCTGCCCGCTCACGTGTTTCCTCCCTCTTACAACCTGGGATCCTTTAAAAGAGGCGTGAAGAAGCAACATGCAGGCCGGCAGGGTGAGGATGGCTGGTGTGGCAGGTAGAACTGATGTATCAGCTATCTTCGCGTCTGGACTTCACCTTCACTTAACATCAGGTAGGGTGGAGTCATTTGTCGGGCCTATCTATAAAAAAAAATAAAAAGTCTATAGACCGCTTAACTGAGCCCTCGCCTGCGGGATAAAGGGTGTGGGGGAGGATGTAAACGAGGACCGTGAGAGGTGCGGGTGGCAGGCACATTTTTTTGTCAAAATTACAAGTGTCCGTTCCGTTCTCGTCCTCCCCCACACCGTGTACCCCGCAGGCGAGAACTCAGTTAAGCGGTCCACCTATAGACTTTCTCAGTTAAGCCGTTTACCTTTAGATACTAATAATGGTATCGATTGACATGGTTTCGATATAGTTATTATGTGTTGTGTGCAGGTGTTCAGCTACGGGTCCCTGGGCGGCGTGGGCCTGGGCGGCGCGGTGGGGGCGGGGGGCGCGGGGGGCGTGTCCCCGCCGGGGGGGCTCGGGCTCTACGCGCCGAGGAACAACCGACCCCCGCCTAGGTAACTATAACTACTGACGACATCGACATCGATATATATCGACACTGGAAAAGTAAAATCGCTTAAACGCCACTTTAGCAACTTTACAGAAAGGAGGATCAAAGTTGTTTTTTTCATAAAAAAAGATCATAGCTCATTGTAAATGAGAAGTGGCGTTATAAAAATAAAAACGTATTCATAATATAACATTTTATAAATATCCTCCTATTAAAAAATTACAAAGTGCCTTAAATTTATGATTTAGATGTCGCTTAAGCGAAAATTACTTACCCGGCTATATTTTTTTTTGTCAAGCGAAAATCAAATCATACGCCAAATAGTAGGGAGTAAGTGCCATTGGTCCAAAAACACCAACATTTACGTCGTTTCTATTAGCGTTGTGAACAATAAAAATCTTCAAACAATTGAGTTACTTAAGCGCCAAAAAAGTAGGGATGGCGGGATCTTTAAGGAACTTCAAGCCAGAAAATGACGAGTGATTCTAGTGATTTCATAAGCGGAAAACAGTTCACCGAGAGGGAAATCTAAGCTCCGCCTTAGACATGCTCTAACACGCCACGCCACTGCCGGATTTAGGGGAGGGCAACCGGGGCGAGAGGCCCCACAATAGAGACTTCGGAAAAAAAATCTTTCAAATTCCAACTAGTAAACACTAGTAAACATCTTTTCCGTTGATTTTTTTTTTGCTCTTTTACCTTTACCTACAGCCTACAGTACTTTGTACATCTAACATACATGATTATTTAATTATATTAATCTTAAATAACAGAAATCATTGATCTATATTTGTTCACTCCAATCAGGCAATCAGTGAAATATCAAAATCTCAAAGGGCCCTGATAAGCACTTCCAATTCACTACCCATCCTGAGGGAGTACCCCAATCGCTTAATGGCTGAGTGGGGTGGTACTTGCCCGCAGGGCCGAATTCAAGGCAGGGCAGGTGGGGCTGTGGCTTAGGGGCCTCCACAACAGCTTAAGAAATAACAAAATTTCGATGGGTTAACAAGAATACAAATCCTAAGTGGCCCGGGGCCTCCACAATCCTAAATCCGGCCCTGCGCCACGCTGAGTTAAGCAGGAATACGAATCGGACGTTCGCTCCGCGTTTAATGTTATTTTTATAGAGCAGCGTTGCTCTATGAAATAACAAGCAACTGTACGGTTTCCGCTCCGTGTTCCCGCTTAACGCAGCGCACCCCGTAGGCGTTGCCCTAATTGGCAACGATCGTGCGATGGCGCGATGCGATTTCATCTTGCGATGAAAATTATGTACCTGTGCTCGTGCGACGGCTTACGAGCTGTATTAGGACACCTCTGAAGAAATTTGTATGTTTGAAAATCATCGCACGACAAGAACGCAACGTGTCATCGTACGATCGTTGCCAATAGGGTATTTGACAGTATTAAAAATAAAGTGCCAATTGTTAGTATCTGTGTTTAGAATGAATATTGGCAGGGTTTTTTTACTATTTTTACAAAAAAAAAATTCATAATTTTACTAAAAAGCCACGATAAAGATAATAGTTTCCTTATCTATTGTCATGTGACCCAAAACGTTTGGGATTGGCGGAGCCTAAAATGACGTCACAAGCAAGTAAACTTCCGGTTAAAGTGACATTACATTGTATCGTTTGACGTTTTAATAACAGTCGTGTGACGTCACACATTAGTAAGACGCCATATTGTCCAGAAAAACGTTTTCGCGGCAACTTGAAAATGGAGTTTTTGATTTGGTTGTTTTTACTGAAATACACAACAGAATGATGAATATCCACTTTTTACGGACTCCATAAACATTATTCAATAACGTGAGATCGTTTTCTAAAACTTGTCAAATACCCTATTGGCAACGATCGTGCAAAGGCGCGATGCGATCGCCGGCCGATGGCCGCCACACGCTACAAATCGTCGTTGCTCGCTTCTTGTGGCCCGCACCGGCCACTTAATGCACCGATAATACAAAACGCCGCCACACGTCACTCGCGCGATTCCCCACCCCTCTCTCCCTTACCTTAGTCGGCCGCTGTCGCGCGCTTCAGCCACTTTAGTAGCCGCTTCTAGCTTCTCGTGGCGGCGTTTGTGGCTGTGGCGTGTGGCCCGTGTGCGGCGACACTTAGAGTCACTAGACAACGCCATGACCTCGTAACTTTCATCAATGGCCCATTAATACTTATTCGCCTTACCATTCGCCTCGCGATTCGCACGAATGTGTAATACCGGCATCAGTTGTTATATCTGTGATTTCAGATGGAATCCACCTTTCACAACTTTGGAAGACGAGTTCAACATCATGACGGCGCCGACGGGGCCCGACCACGTTGTGCTACTAGATGATGGTATGTCATCATCATCATCAGTTTGTTAATGTCCCCACTGCTGGGGCACAGGTTTTCCTTATGGATGGAATAGGGAGATTGGGCCATGACCATTACGCGGGTACTGGTGGGTACTAACGACTGCAGATGCAGCCGAGATCGACGGATTAACGTGTCTTCCGAAGCATGGAGGAGAGAGATAATAAGTTTTGGTCACCCATCCAATGAACGGCAATTGCAAAAGTTGCTTCACTTCTACGATCGCAGACCGAACGCGTTAACCACCTGCTCCTTAATGGTTTGTAAGAAAAACCAATGTGATTTTATTTGGGCTGAAAAAATTCTTAAGATTGATGCGGCAAAGCTGGTTTGTTTGTAGGAAGTAATTTCTACCTATTTTTATTTATTTATTTTTGTTACATGGAAGACCAACAGCTTATCTTAATATACAAGAAATGAATAGTAGCGACAAAGAGCCAATTACAGGTCCTCACATCTAGACATAACTTAAAGTTATAAAGAAACTATTTGCACTGTCATATATACACAGTACGCACATATAGTTTTATAAATGTGGTACTTATGATAAATTACAGAATAACAAATGACGCACATGTTAAGTACATACACTTGTCTATTGATTTACCTAGTTTGAAAATTCTTTCACCACTAATGTATGTAATTTATTAATATTAATGTAATTTAGCAAAAGTATTGAAGTGCTCTAGATTTTTATAACTAAAGTAAATTGACGACCTCCGTGGCCGAGCGGTTTGTGCGCCGGCTTTCAAGGTGTCACCGACTTGAGAGGTCCCGGGTACGAATCTCGGTGGGGGCAGATGTTTGTGTGATGAATACGAGCATTTGTATTCCAGTCATGGATGTTTAATATCTATTTCTATATAAATATACTTATATATGTACAGTATATGTATTCTATCCGTTACCCTAGCATCCCATAACACAAGCCTTATAGTGCTTACTTTGGGGCTAGGCTAATTGGTGTGAGTGTTGGGAATATTTATTTATTTTATTATGCTTTGGCCTCCTTAAACGCCATAGGCCGCGTCACGTTTATAGGATACTAACGCCTTAGATAGTATTTTTGTTGAATTAGATTATTCCTGGGTGCATCCATTTAAGCTTAAAAGGAGATGCCGGTCATTAATTTAAGATCGCATTATTGTTCAAAATATAATATTATTATTATTATCCATACTTATAAATACAATAAATGCAAAAGTGCATCTGTCTGTAAACTATTCACACTTAAACCGCTAAACCGATTTGGATGAAATTTGGTAAAGATATAGTTTTAATCTCGGTTTTTCTAGTGTAAAATCTATCCGATATCCCTTACATAGGATAGTTTTTACCCTAGAAATCATTACTTAAGAGGGTGAAAATGGAAGTATGGGAAGTTAATTGAACCACGCAGAAGAACCCACGGACACTATTTTTTTAATTTTTATGTTAAAAGTATAGCAAACAAGCTTATGGTCCGCATGATGTTAATCAGTCAAAGCCGATGGACATTTCATCATCATCATCAGCCTATTAATGTCCCCACTGCTGGGGCACAGGCCTTCCTTATGGATGGAATAGGGAGTTTGGGCCATGACCCACCATGCGTGCCCAGTGCGAATTGGTGGGTGCTTACGACTGCAGACCAACGGCATAATGCGCCTTCGGAAGCACGGAGCAGCTCGTGATAATAAATTTTTCCTCACCCATCCAATGACCGACCACTGCGAAAGTTGCTTAACTTTAACGATCGCATTTACGATACAAAAAAAACATGGAGCCATGTTCATTATTCACCATCATCATCATCAGCCTATTAATGTCCCCACTGCTGGGGCACAGGCCTTCCCTATGGATGGAATAGGGAGATAGGGCCATGACCCACCACGCGGGCCCAATGCGTATTGGCGGGTGCTAACGACTGCAGACTGGGACCACGGGCTTAACGTGCCTTCCGAAGCACGGAGGACTCGAGATAGAAGATTTTTGGTCACCCATCCAAAGTTGCTTAAATTCAACGATCGCAGCCGAACGCGCTAACCACTTGCGCCATCGAGCTCCTCTGTTCATTATTGATAATAATAATAATAATAATAAAACGTTTATTTGGCACAAATTACAAAAATAACTTATTGTGTTACATAAAGGTTGTGTACCAAACAGGTCACTGCTCAGTATATGTCGAGGCAACATGTGCCACGACACTGATTTTCAGCAGCAGCCTACTTAAATTAAATGACATTTAAGGTCATCGATAATAATTTAAATAAAAATTAGGAATAAAAGATTTAAATACAAATGTCAAATTACTGAAATCAATTGGATAAATTTTGCGAAACAAAATGAAAGCCAAAAAAAATAAATTAAATTAAAATTTACAGCGTATGAAATGGTGCTCAAAATCAACCATAGTGTTCTAGGTTCAGGTTAGTTCATTGCAACTTTTGCACATCTAATAAATATTTCCTGTATTGTTCATTATTAAGTGTCTTTTTCTCTCATCCAGAACGCTTCTTCCAATCGAGCGTGATAACGTCCGAGGGCGCTCCAATGGACACTAGCGGGGCTGTGACCGGCGTCGTAGAAGCCGACGAGCTCGCGCCCGACAAACCCGCGCCCGCGCTCCGCTCGCCGTGATCCCACGCCCCCGCCCTCTACCCGCCCGGCGACGGACCCAGCGGGGACGGTATGATAATGCACCTCACCTCTAGGGACGACGCCGGGACCACCACCGACGCTATGCTCCTACCCATCGTCTCTAGAGCCGACGACCTGCGTAATCAAACGATGCTGTCTAGGGGGGATGCGAGGAGTCAACACCTGCGTAATCAAACGATGCTGTCTGGAGAGGATGCGAGAAACCAAGACCTGAGAAGCGAGTCTTCACTCTTGCCGATGACAACTAGATCCGACGACCTGCGAAGCGAGAATATGCTACTACCTATTACATCTAGATCGGATGACTTGCGAAGTAAGACGATGCTACACCCTCTTACGTCTAGATCGGATGATATGAGAAGCGAGACGATGCTACTACCTGTTACGTCTAGAAGCGATCCACTACCCATCGTGAGTAGAGCCGATGACCGAACGATGCTGAGGGACGATCGCAGCGAATCTATACTCTTACCTATTACTTCTAGATCGGATGACCTGCGAAACGAGAGTATGCTTCTACCCGCTACATCTAGATCGGATGACCCGTCATTGTTACTACCGATCGTATCTAGATTAGACGACCGCACGCATTCCATACTGAGGAACGATCGAAGCGATTCCATGTTCGTACCCGTCACGTCTAGAAGCGATTCGACGCTACTACCCGTCGTTTGTAGATCGGATGATCCGATGTTGAGGAACGACCGAAGCGAGTCTATGCTTCTACCCGTCACGTCTAACGAATCTACACTACCAAACACGTCGAGGGCAGAATTGTCGGAGTCCACGGTGATATATTCGGGAGTGAGTGCGTGGAGTAATCAACCCGTTTCGTCTACAGTGCTTAGATGGACACCCGCTCCACCACCTCATTGGAGACCTGTAACTCATAGAACTGCGTGAGTGTTGATAGGTCTTCCATCGTTTCGACAGACTTGGTCAGACTTTGTGAAATTTTTCGGCAGTTTTATTTTTGATGAGGACTTAATTGATACTGAGGCTATGTACTTATCTTCAATATAAAGGAGATCGTTTGTTCATGTCAAGCACCATTAAATACTCAACTGGAGATTAATTTTTCAAGTGTATGTTTTGGATAGTAAATGTATTATAAGTGTTTATGTTGACGCACAAAAGTTCGATGAAATCATATAGTGAAGATTTTTTTTTACAAACGTAAGTGTCCAAACATGATGTTGATTTATGCAAGTTCTGCTTAAGAGGGCGGTAGGAGAGGGGGCAAAATGTATGTAAATATTATTAAATAAAAACGGCATTGAATCAAAACCGGCAAATTGTAGTAGAAATATAGATTTTACAATTGTACTTACACGTAACGATTGCCTGTAGTCGATCGACAACTCGTCACCGACGATGTGACTTTGTCACAGCGGCACATAATTAAAAAATATTAAAAGCGCCATCTACTCGAGGATTCCTGAAACCAGAGGCATTCGATACTGTAACTACCTACTCGTTAAGGCTAACAAAATACTCCAACGATAATTATTGTGTATTATAGATAAAGCTACGAAAATTAAAACAACATAATAATATTCTAATATTTTTATAGAATATAAAACAAGTATGATATGATCAAGCCTTCCAGTAATTTAGTGAAATAAAAAAAATGTTAATGAGAGTAAATACAGCTTATAAACTGTTATTTTGCTGTAAGACAGATAAAACGGAATTAATGCTTCCAGTTACTATAGCGTCAAATAAATTTCTATTGACGAAAGTGTGATAATAATTGAGTTGTTTTTCTTGTTTCGTTGTTGTGTGTTTTGTATTGAAAAAGTATAGAATAAGCGGTACTTAATAGATTACAACTTCTTTTTTTTTATTATTTATTTATTAAACGAATATTTAATAAAGACGAGCCTTGCTTATGAGATTAGTTTAGTTGTATTGTTAGTGGCCGAGGCTAGCTACTTTATTGTAGTTCATTCGACTCAACAAACAATGTTTCAAACATTTACAAATCGATGGTGAAAATTTGATAAGCAAATGAAACTCTTTTAGGGAATTGTACAAATGTAGAAAAACAGTTCATAAGTGTATGTGTACTTGGACAAAAATGATTTAGTTGATCTCATATAAAGCATTGATAAGTTGAGTCGAAAGCTATAATATTTTGGCACTCGTATTTAGTTTGACGGGTGTCGAAAGACATTTTATAGGTGCCTTTCTTAAAAGTTATATAATAAATTAATTACTCAGTAGGAACTTGTAAATTGTAGTGTTGTTTTAATAAAATCCATCCGCTCATACCTTTAACTTTGGCCCTAATCCTAACTCATTAAATGTTAAATTAAATTTCTTTTTTCTGTAACCAATAAGCAATCCTACCTGGAGTACAATGAGGTGAAGAGGGCAAGTGTATATTTTTACTTATATTTTTTGTTACGTTCATAACGAATAGGTTAGATCTATCACAATAAAGTCAAACGATAGGCATAAAATATTTGCGTGAATCAATTCCCATTGTTTAGCTGCATTGTAATTAATTGCTATGTTCTTGAAAGAGAACGGAAAAACTAATAAGTCTCAGCGTATTTTTTTTCGATTGTATAAAAGCAAGCACGCACATACACGTGGTTCTATATAGCCTGTCTAATGAATTGTGATCTTCCAAAAGAGTTTCCATCCCATTTCATCGAGAGGCAAATTTAAAAATTCTGTAGCTATAAACACTTTGAGGGACAAATAGACTTGAAACTTTATATTAACTGATAAATAAAACATTATAACCAACTTTGAAAGAAGGAGAGGTCGTCAATACTGCTACATATTTTTTTAACCTCATTGCTCTGAGATTTGTAGACGGATTATAATGATTGATTTTCCAATAGCTATTTGGTGTTCAGTGACTGGTAGTTTATCCTAATTTATAGAAAAATACCTATAATTGATGATATCTATTCTAAATATTTTATCTCGTGTGTCCACGTCTCGTCTGTTACACGAGATTTTAAAACATTAATTATGCGTTTTATCTTTTCTTTTATTTATACAATATCTACACTTTCTGAAAGAAACCAACAGCAACATAAACATGTTATGATAAAAGTAAAAAAAATAAAATAGGTACCCAAATAAACGAAAGTATCAAAATCCACCATCCGTGTAACGTCAAAGTGATAGTTCTAATATTGCCATATTCAAAATTTAAAAAAATAGTAGGGTGACCATTCATTAGACAGACTATCACCGGCATTGTGTATTCAGTTAAAAGTATCATTATTCACTTCGTAATTTTAATTAAACACTATTGGTTACAGAATAAAATGAAAATTAATAATTCTTATAATCCTTTTCTTGTAGTACTTGTATTTATAAGAAAATTATATATCTTTTTTTTTGTCATACCATATTATTTTGCAATACCGTGGCCATACGAGAAAAGCTAGTCATTAGAATTACAATGTAAATTTAATATAACTTAAAATTATTAAAAAAATATTTACATTTATAAATAAAACCCCTTACGTTTATTAGTAAGGGGTAGAACCTAAAATTGTGGCCAAATTACGATTAATAAATCCAAATATATATACACGATTTTAATAGTTTAGTGTTATAAGTACAATAAGTTGTCAGTTTACTAGGGAAAATGGTGATCATTATGAAATTTGGCTGCTTAAATATTAACTTAAAAGGGATTTACATAGATTAATTGATGAAATTGTTTTAAACTTACTCCGAACATTTTAATTTTAACAGACGAAACTTCAACAGTTGTTTTACTTTTACGAACAAAAATATTTCTTTCAAGACCTGCTGCGCTGACGTTTATACTTTTCTCTTTTAATTCAAATTTAATTCTCTATTTACTAATAAAACAGATTAAGCCGTCATGTTTCTCATTAAACTATTAATCACCATTTTACGTGAATATTGTATAATTTCTAACATTATCTAATTGTCAAGCTTTGCCGTTTGATTTAAAGATTCTATAACCGTTGTCAATTTGAGTTAACGCCTTAGGATTCTTGATTTTTGAAAATTTAGTAAATAGAATATATGTAGGAGACGTAGCAATAAATGACAAGCAATAACTATAAAAATAATTATAATAACGAGTACAGCTTTAGGGAAGCTAGAGATTGGTACTGAGAGTAGTTGGATCCTATATTCATGAAATTACTTGCAAAATATTTTTTCTATATAGAAATGTGGCTAAACAGACTGGGTTATATGAATACCTATAAATCGATTATAATTATAGGCAGTTTGGTACAAGTAATACGAGTATAATAGCTATTCACAGAACAAAATACTATATTAGACTTTATAACAGCGTAATAGTTCAACTAGGCAGAAAGGCGGGAATTAGTCAATTGCTAGCTATAGACATTAGAGGATATAAACAGTTAGAAGAATAAAATAGTGAAGTCACTTAAGGCTTGTTGATTACATTGATTCGAAGTACATACACAATTTCGTCGTATTATAAAAACCGAACGATTTGAACGTGTAACGTGGTAAGACAGTAAAATTATGGTGACGAATTTAAAAGCTCATTGGTGCCGAAAATTCTAGACTGTGATTCAATTGTTCATTCTGAACGTGTCTTATATTGAAATAGTTGTTTTGTATGATTGGCAATATGTACAGCTAAAGTGCTGATGGAAACGAATAATACACTGTATTATAAATTAAAGACGGACAGAACATGTTGTATGAAATGCATTTGTTGTTAAAGTAATAAAGATTTGTAACCATAAATATAAAGCCGTGAGGTGTTATTAAACTTTTAATTTTGTTAACAGCATTAGTGGATTGGGTAGTAGTTGGTTGAATAGCTTTGCTATGATTTCCGTGCGTCAGTGACAAATCTTATAAATTAAAATTCAACACTGTGTAAGTATTCAACTATATGTAGTGAGTCATACGTAACATGTGTAATTTATATGATTGTCATTGCGCACACGTTTTTGTATATTGGTTTTTTACTAGCACCACTGTTACGATATGGAGTAATAATTGGAAGCCTAAACATTATGTGCCTTAGATACAACAATATTGTATGATATTTATGATGCGTTCTATACAACGTGCTAACTAGAGATAAAGATAAACATTATTTTCAAAGCCTGGGACGTGAATAATTGTCTTAATTGTTAGATTTAATTTCGGCGAAGGCTTTTATGTATGGATTTGAATCTCCTTAAGATTTCTAGTACTTTAGAATGCCCTATTAATTTTTGTTTTCTTGCTATGACATTAACCCATTAGCTGAAATTAATTAATAATATTTTTGAACCCATTGATTTATCAAAATTGATGAGAAACTGGGCACCCAGCAGTCTGGAAGTTAATTTCGAATCCAGAGTACTTATATTACAATTGTAACCCTCGTCTAATGTTTATTGTACAATTATTAAGTAACGCTTCTATGCGTAGTTTGCTGAAAATATGAATACTTCGACTATATTATATATAATTTTAGTAATTACCTACAATTGTACCCGTTTAAGTACTCGTATTTTACAGGCATGTGTATCCTAATCAAAGCCACAATCGAATTAGGCACGCTATTCATTTCAAAATGATAAAACTACTTATCTTTAATTTTCGCATGTTTTTTTTAATATTGCCTACCTATTATTACTATTCTTCAGACTAACAAAAATTTATATTCGAAATGAATACACAATGGTATTTTTGTTGTTTTTCTATTCACAATCATAAGTCGTTATTAGAATCACAAATCCGTCTTATTATTAGGTTTGTGGATTTTGGACATTGAAAATAACTTACATACGTAAATAAAATAGAAACTAATTGTAAGTATAATTAACCAATAGAAGAATACTCCTAGTTACGGATTTTTTAGTTGATTTTATATTATGTGTAATAATGATTATTTTGTTTTAGCGAATTTATGAATTATTTTTAGTTCAACCTATTTTGTGTCCGTTGTATTATTGTCTGTAAATATGTTCCGAAATGTATTTATAATTTAATCTGTATAATTTATTAGTAGAAAACGTATTGATGTGTTACGTTTGTCATAATAATATTAATATCCTTACAGCGCTTTCATATTTTATATTTTCATGATTTTTACATTTTCTTTGTAATCCAAGCCGTTATTGAATCAAATGTACTATTTGAATAGAACCGTAAGAGACGAGGTCCGTTTGTTCAAACACTTGAGATAGTTCATTCGATTCGAACGTAATAACTAAAGATAGACTTGTAAAAATGTTATAACATGTATTTTTAACCTATACATAGTAAGATATTTATAGATTTTTAGTCGTTTAATTATTTCGAACGACTTGTTATAAAGAAAATTGGTGCTTAAAGCTTAAACAAAATATGAGTCGGCACAAAATTGTGTCGTGTGTGTATTGTCATGGAGAGGTCAGAGCATAATGACATAGCATGCGTTGTTATGCTTACATTCGATGTGAAATTGTTTACGATAAATAAATAAAAAACACATCAACGTAACGCTGTTACAAAGTCACCGCGTACGGAGAGTAAAAAAATATAATTGGCGCCATTAAGACAGCGCCATCTATATTTCTTATCTCATACTCTATTAAGACAGCGCCATCTATATTTATTTTCTCGAACTCCTTAAATTAAGAGGTGCAAAAACCAAACGATTTCACATCACAATGTAAGCAGTTATAATAATGTAGGTAAACTTTGCTCAATATCGATGAAAACTGAAAAGTGTTACAGTTGATGCAATACAAACAAACAAACACATTATTTGCGTTTTATTAAATCCATGATCCATAATATAATCAACAGTCATAATTTTTAACGAGATTTTGATTCAAGTAGGTATAATATTCTTTGATATGTAAAAATTTAAATTATTAAAGTGGAAATAAGTTGTATATTTATAACACAAAACTTAAAACACTAGGTCATTTTATAAATATTTAATTAACACATACTTATAAACTATACAGCTTAACATACTTACCTACTTAAATTAATAATTTACAAAATATACAATATGTCATCCCCAGCGCCGTCATCACGATTCTATTGAAATTTAAATGAAAATACAAACAGAATCATTAGTTGAGATGAACTTAAATAAATAAAATTTAAAACCATTGCAATTAATATAATGTGGTAAAGATCTACGCCGTTATACTATGACTACAACCTCAGTATGACTCATCATTAAAACCTATTAATGTCCCCACTGCTGGGTCACTGGCTTTCCCTATGGATGGAGTATTATATTATACAGACTGTTACAAAAATACAAATAAAGCTTGAAGGGCGTTGAAGTACATCATATAAGGAGTCTTCTCTAATTTTCTTAAAATATTTGCATTAAGTTTAAACTTTTTTAAAAACAGTTATTTCTAATAATCCACGAACTAGTGACGTGTCTTAAAATGATCGATATTTTTATTAATCGTTAAAAATAACTGTTTTTGTAAAAAGTTAAAAACTTCATGCAAATATTTTAAGAAAATTAGAGAAGACTTCTTATATGATGTACTTCAACGCCTTTCAAGCTTTATTTGTATTTTTGTAACACCCTGTATATTGGGCCGTGACCCAGATTCGTGGGTGCTAACGACTGCAGATACAGCGGGGACCAGCGGTGTAACGTGCCTTCATGCATGGAAGAGCTCGAGATAATTATTTGGTCACCCATCCAATGAACGACCATTGCGAAAATTGCTTAAGTTCTACGATTGCAGGCCGAAGGCGCTATCCACCTGCGCCATCGTACTCCTAAATGTGACTTAGAACTTATCGCCATTGCGGAGGCTATCTCCTACATAAGCAATCATAAGACAAACTGTTGTGTAGTTTTGACAGATTCTAAAAGCGCTCTACAACATCTCCATCGATGCACCACAAAAGAAGGCGTGCCTATAGCTTACAAGATCTTAGAATCGTTGGTAACTTTATCAAGTCTGGGTTATCACGTCACACTTCAGTGGATACCCTTTCACATAAGGTTGGCCGGCAATGAAGAAGCGGATCGACTAGCCAAAGAAGCTGTGACGTCAGGAACGATTTTGAACTGCTTACCACACCAAGGAGACTGTCTACAACACATAAAAAATAAGTGCAAACTCGATTGGATCAGCTCCATTATCTTCTCAACGAGACAAGACACTACTCATGTATTAAAGTAAGATCCTAGGACCTCCAGACCTTATTTATTTTCTCATGGACAAAATATGTATAATCGATTAGTATTAGTGTGTATAATGAACGTATACATACTCGCTTGTGCTGGGAGGCAATTTTCAGGTATCAGGTTGTACAGGCACGTAAAAATTTTACTCACTTTACTTACAATCTCGGGACTGATTCCTACGTATGATGGACAATATTTTAAGAAGGGAGAATAAAAAAAACTGAAATTCATACTCTGGCTGCGGACGCAATCTGTCAACAATTTTTATTGCCAGATACTTTTAATGTCGAAAGCAAAAAACACAAACTTGCTTATTTTCAGCAATAATAATCTTTTATTATCCATATTTTGTCCATGAGAAAATAAGCAAGGGCTGGCAGTCTTGGGATCTTGTACTACGTAGGTATAATACAATAGAATACGTAAAGATAGCAATCAAAACAAAATATTGGTGATAACTACAGAACTACATGTGAATGTCGGAAAGCTACGCCATCGATTCGCAAATCTACGGCGGGAGAACTTGTACTGAGAAGAACCGGCAAGAAACTCAGCAAGGGCTGTTTTTTCTCTCCCTGTATTATATACAGAGTCGCCAAATTGAAAAATGACTTCAATATGAGATAACTCATGAATTCACTTTCCATAAATTCCACTAAATGAATAAAATCGATTGCGCCAGATCGCGTCACAACACCACACTTAGGATAAATATAGTTCTGCCTTTCTGGTTATAATAAGGTACTGGCGTCGATTCTGGCCTGCTTCTCTAAACCTAAACTTAAATTTGACAACAGTGTATCCTTGTCATTCTCGTTGCAGAATGTTAAGGAGAGACTGATGTTAAATTTAGTTTTAAGTTTAGAGAATCACACCAGAATCGACACCACTCTGTGGTTCTGCCCTAAGTTTGACACGAAGGTAGGTACTTAAAGTTTAAATAACATCTTCATACAGTTGGGTACAGCTAGCGCCATCTGTTGTCGTTTTTTCAAATTACTAGTTATAAGTAGCATGCTGATAAAATACAACGCACTTTGGTTGGTTTTCTGGGTGTATTTACATTTAGTAGTGTGACTGAAATTTATAAAAAAAATATTGAACATATTATATTAGATTTATAATATTATTTGTTCTGGGACCATTATACTGCTTTAAGAACTAAATATAGTTTTAGTATACAGTAATTACAAAATTTTATAGTTTGACTAACAGAAGTCTAATGACATTTAAGTATCAACAAAATTTTCGAAATTACTAAAATCTATATATATAAAAATGAAACCCGTTTTCCGTTGTCACGACATAACATGAAAACGGCTTGACCGATTTGGCTGTTTTTTTTTGAAGTTATACTTCTTTAGGCGCGTTATGAAAAAATGATGAGAGTGAAATTTTAAGATGCGCGCGCATTCACTGTAACACAAAATTTTAACATAATGAAGTTGGTCGCTTTAGCGACCAACTTCATGCGTTACTTTTGTGTTTACCGCACATTAAGAAAATCTACCAACAAAATAGAAATAGAATCTCTATTTAGTGGGTGCTAACGACTGCATTGTGAAGGCCTATCAAAAGTATTTATTAATCTGGAACAACGGAACCAAAGCGCGATTCAGGAGACTACAGCGCCATCTCTTGACCATTGGTGTAGTAGAACCAAAAACCACATCTTTATTTTTTGTAATAAAGTAACAGTTATAGGTATTCATATTTATAATATTTATCCACATGTTTCTAGTTTGTATATTCGGAATACGTGTTTGAGTTTCATACAAGTGCAAACCACATATGTTCTAATAAATTATATTCAGTAGCGATTTTAATTGAATATTTTGATTATTTATTTATTTTTTCAAATTAAAACTGAACTTTATTGACTTCGTCCTTTTCCAGACTTTTTATTAATTTATTGTAATTAATTATTTGCATGCAATTAAAAACTAATTTTAAACGATGCCAAAAAAGGATAACTTCTCACGCGCCTACATAAGTACACGCACCCATTTTTTTTGTAGTTTTCTAATACTCTGTACAAGGTTCTTACGGAAAAAAATATAAAGAAAATCCCAAGGGGATAAAATAAGGAATGAAAGTTTGTATGAAACTTTATCAATTTTAAACCGATCGGGCTGAGACTTTGCATGCAGGTATAAGAAGAATCATAGATGAATGTCATTGTGTATAATACAAGCCTGAGAACAAAAACTGTAGTCTACACTTCAGCACTACACCGAAGCGAAGCGAGGGCGGGCCGCTAGTTTATAATAAATTGATAATGGACAAGCAATTGTGTAACGAAAACATACACTGAGAAGATTTCCAGAATCACTCCAGTCATGAAACCACCTAGAAAACTTTGGTATACCTATAGTTTATTAACATATTTTTTTTCGACATTGCCATCAGGGCCGCTGTAGCATAATGGTCAGTGCATTTGCCCGGATAGCGAAGGGTTCGGCTTCGAGTCCCGTCTGCTGCCTGGTCAGCGTGTAATTTTTTCTAGGGAAAAAGAACACTAGATCTAGCAGAAATGCTTAAAGAAATATAACTAAAATAATTTTACTTGAGGATCTGGCGAACAAAAAGTTATAATTAAACATCTGGTCAAACTACTTTTTTTTACAGTCCGGAGGTTTCGGTCCGTTGAATTTGAATCACAAATAATTTTCAATCAAAACCGCCTAATACATTGTTAAAATTACTAAATTTATAAATGAAAAACCATGCCAAAAGCTCACTGGAGGTATGTCATTCAGTTTTATGCAGCTCCTGTAAAAATTAATTTTATGTAATTGTACCGTTTTGTGGAGGAGGAGAGAGGAGCTCGATGGCGCAAGTGGTAAGCGCTTTCGGCTGCGATCGTTGAAGTTAAGCAACTTCCGCTTATTTGGATAATTGGATGGGTGACCAAAAATTTACTATCTCGAGTTCCTCCGTGCTTCGGAAGGCACGTTAAGCCGTTGGTCCCGGCTGCATCTGCAATTGTTAGCACCCGCCAATCCGCACTAGGCCGGCGTGGTGGGTCATGATCCAATCTCCCTATTTCATCCATAGGGAAGGCCTGTGCCCCAGCAGTGGGGACATTAATAGGTTGATGATAATGACGATGATGATGATGATACCGTTTTGTTCGCAAGCTCCTCATTTCACCATTTTACCACAGCACCACCCGTCACTGGAGTCGATTTCACTCATATTACCTGGAAACACTGAAGTCAACAACTGTTCGTTTTCACAAATCTTTTAACCAAAGGACAAAGGTCACACAAACAATAGGATTATGGAGTAAGCTCCCCCCCAGGGTGTTCCCTCAGTACTATAACTTTTTTTTGAGTGTATAAAATATGCTGTCGGTCGCAGATGACCTTTACAGCGTCACCGGGTTTGGGGACGGCGAGATCCTAAAGGGACTTTAAGCCGAGAATTGACGAGTGCCTCTAGAGGTATTCCAGGCGGATGGTATGTCCCCGCGGGGGGAGTCTCCTCAACGTCTGGAGCCTCTAGACCACTTGAACCTGAGGGGTTAACATGGCCAAGAGTGGCTTAAATAGAGTATTCCACGTAAGGCGGTGGCATGACAATAATAA